AACCAATGTTGATCTCTCTGATGTTGATGATTGTTCTCTGACTTCTTTGTTCCAGATTTCTCGAGAGGATTTGATTAGAGCTCAACAGAGCGACGACAGTCTTAAAACCTTATTCTCTGAAGTAGGGTCTAAGAAATGTTCTGATCCTCAGTCTTCTTCGTACTTTCTTGATGATGGTCTGCTTTGTCGGAAAGTGGTGTTGCATGAAGATGTTTCTCTAGAACCTAAAATTCAGATTGTGGTTCCTTTTACGGTGAGGGAATCCGTGTTGCATTTAGCTCATCAAGGACTTGCTGGTCATACCGGAGTTCGTAAAACGTACGATCGAGTCTTACGACAGTTCTATTGGCCGAAGGTGAAACGAGATGTGGCAAAACATATTCGATCTTTTCATACATGCCAGATCACCGGTAAGCCAAATCAAAAGTTACCTGTTGCTCCGTTGCAACCTATTTCCGTCGGTTCCACTCCTTTTGAGTATTTGATAGTTGACTGTGTTGGTCCTTTGCCTCGGTCCAAGACTGGTCACCAATACCTTTTAACCATTATGTGTCAGACTACTCGTTATCAGGCTGCTTATCCGTTAAGGTCCATCACTACTAAATCTGTCTTGAAGGCTCTCACTAATTTCATGTCGACCTTTGGAATTCCTAAAATCATTCAGTCCGATCAGGGTTCGAACTTCATGTCAAAACAGTTCTCAAAAGCCCTGCGTCAACTTCGAGTGAAACACAATATTTCTAGTGCTTATCATCCGCAGAGTCAAGGAGTTCTTGAAAGGTTTCATCAAACCCTGAAGTCCCTTTTGAGGTCCTATTGTGTGGAACTCGATGTAGATTGGGAAGAAGGTCTGCCATGGATGTTGTTAGCGATCCGTGAGGTAATCCAAGAAAGTCTTGGGTTTAGCCCAAATGAATTAGTGTTCGGACATGTAGTGCGAGGACCTACAACTGTGTTAGCTGAGGAGTGGCGTATGCCTAAACTGTCTGAAAACATTTCGGATTATGTGAGCGGATTTCGGCGTAGATTATATGAGGCAAGAGCTCTTGCTAAAAAGAAATTGAGTAAGTCTCAAATAAAAATGCAACAACGCTTTGACAAGAAAGCTAAATTAAGAGAATTTCAGGTGGGTGAACAAGTATTGGCTTTATTGTCTCTACCTGCAAATCCATTTCAGGCTAAATTTACAGGCCCTTACAAGATAGTTAAACTTCTTTCCGATAATAACTATCTGTTGAATACTCCTGATCGGAGGAAGAAGGTACAAGTATGTCACAGTAATCTGTTAAAATTGTACATAGCTCCTGTTCGTTCCGTTACTGTTAATGTGGTAAACTCTTGTGATTCTTTTCCAGAATTGTCATCTTCCTTTCGTAGCCCGAGTAAGGATTCTTTGGAGAATGCTGATGAGGATGAGAGTTTTCTTTCTCTAGGAAAAGTCGACGGGCGACTTAAGAACTCTGAGATTCTTCTTAATCTGTCCTCTCATCTTTCTTATCTGACAGAGAAGGAGAGGAGTGATGTCACTGAGTTGGTGATGTCATTTCCCTCTCTTTTCCGTGATGTTCCTGGTCGTACTTCTATCATAGAACATGATATCGACGTAGGAGCCTCGTGTCCTGTTAAACAGAACGCATATCGAGTCAATCCTTTTAAAAGAGATTTGCTGAAACAAGAGGTGAACTATCTACTTGCTCATGATCTGGCTGAATGTAGTTTCAGTTCATGGAGTTCCCCTTGTGTTCTGGTAAATAAATCTGATGGCTCATATCGATTCTGCACAGATTATCGAAAACTTAATTCTGTTACTAAGCCGGATTGCTTCCCTTTGCCTCGAGTTGATGACTGCGTCGATCATGTTGGCTCTGCCCGATATGTTAGTAAGTTCGATCTCCTAAAGGGATATTGGCAGGTGCCGCTGACTTGTCGAGCGAAGGAATTATCCGCCTTCGTCACACCTGATGCTTTCCTGCAGTATACGGTTATGCCTTTCGGAGTGCGAAATGCACCCGCGACGTTCCAGCGTCTCGTAAATCGTATACTGTATGGAATGTCAGGATGTGAGGCATATCTTGACGACGTGGTGTTGTATAATTCCTCCTGGTCTGAACATCTTAACCAGATTAAGGAATTGTTTTCTCGTTGAGCAAAGGCTAATCTTACCATAAACCTCGCTAAATCGGAATTTGCGAAGGCAACCGTTACCTATTTAGGTAAAGTCGTGGGAAACGGTTGTGTAAAGCCTATTGAGACCAAGGTTGAAGCCATTTGTGACTTTCCCGTACCCACCACTCGTCGTGAATTGCGACGGTTTCTCGGTATGGTGGGATATTACCGGGGCTTCTGTGAAAATTTTGCCAGTGTGGTCTCCCCTCTTACCGATTTATTGAGTCCAAAGTTGACTTTTCAGTGGTCTGAGCTCTGTCAACGAGCTTTTGGTAATTGTAAAGCGTTGTTGGCGTGTGCCCCTGTTTTAACAGCCCCGGATTTTGAGAAATCTTTTAGCCTTGCAATCGATGCAAGTGCTTGTGGTGCGGGTGCTGTCCTCTTACAGGAGGATTCGAACAAGGTTCTACATCCTGTAAGTTACTTTTCAAAAAAGTTTAATCGACATCAACAGGTATACTCTACCATTGAGAAGGAAGCTCTCGCCCTAGTGTTGGCCGTGCAACATTTTGAGGTATACCTAGGGTCCATCGCTGCACCGATTATCATCTATACGGATCATAATCCGTTGGTTTTCTTGAATCGAATGAGAAATCGAAATCAGCGACTTATGCGATGGAGTCTCATTTTACAACCTTTCCACCTTGAGATTCAACACATTCGAGGAAAAGATAATGTCATAGCTGACACACTTTCCAGAGCATAACCTAACCTCTGCGTTGTCCATTTTCTTTTCTTTGCATCTCTAGGGCCAAGAGGTGCTGGAGAATGAAGAGAAGACGACGTCCAGAATGTCATTGCGCTTGTTTTGGGTTGTGCCTAATTGTCTTCTCTTGTTTTTGATTTTTAGATTCGTGGCCGAATCTTTTTCTTTTGGAGGGAGGTGTTACGACCCTGTGTTCTGCTTGCTCGCCTGCTGGTGGCGGTGTTGCTCTGAGAGAGCGTGGGAGATCGCACACACCTGCTTCCTGATTATCTTTGATTATGAAGAGGATAAAACCTTGGATTGAACATCTCATCTTCACTTCGTCCAGGGGATTGACAGCCTCTGGCGAAGTCATTCGAACCCTTGATTTACAGCCCATTCCAACCTTCTTTTACTCCCCAACCGGATTATGATTTTTACCCTTTTGATTTGAAACCCTAGACTTTGTTATATTCAGTTTATTGTGATTTTTGAGGACGAATAAAATCTTGCAAGTCATTTTTGGTGTACTTGTTTACTTTATGTACGGCCGAAACGAGCTGGCCGTAACAGTATAGAAATTTGTACAAAACTAATAATGAAAGTTTCTTTTATTTTTCAGTGCATTTGTCTTACAATACAGCCTATGGCTATTACTGTCATGGGATTAATATTATAACTATTATTATGTAGTAGTGTAATGTAGACACTGTAATTAAAAGAGGTTTGAATTTTTCTTTGTTTAATTTGCACACTGAATATGGGTGGAGCTTTTAGTTTTGAACTCTCAAAGTGCACCAGATTGATGAATTTAACATTAAAATGCATAAAATTCTCTTACAGGGGGAAGATTCTATACCCCCGAACCCCCCAGCCCTGTAGCAGCATAATAGATTAGTAATAATAATAGTGGTGGTGGTAATTTTAATTTATCTACTACAAGTTACATGGTCAGATAAAATGTATATGTACAATGCAACTGTGTAGGATGATTGAAATATCCTTGAACGTTCTTTGTATGAACAATTTCAAGTCATAATTTGCTTGAAGTTTTGGAATGACTATAAGAGCATTTTTGTTTAGTTTAATAAATACTTATTTTTAATGATAACTCAAAACTCAATCTCACCTAGGGCAACCAAAGGGCTAGAGCCGAGCCTGAGCGCTGATAAAACAGCGTAACGAGTGATTTAGAAGCCATTTCTTGACCAGGAACACCACGAGTGTCACAGGGTTTTCAACAGCACAAGAGTTACATGAATCAATTTCAACCGAGGTGTGTAGACTTTACACCTCTGGATCAGAAACCTTATTCAGTCAAATTCAGTATGTACATTATATTTGTCCTTTATAAAAAGTAATTCCATTGAAAACGGAGGATTTTGAGCAGCCTCTGAAGTCAACATGTGGAACAAGAGTGCGTTTATAAGACAAGATGCTTTTCAAATCATTGTTCCCCTTTAAGAAGAAGTGGAGATACTGTCACAAACCTGTTCCGAACATTTCGAGGTCAGTATTTTACTCTCACACACACGGTGAATTGAGAGTGTGATAACGCTTGAGTATGTCACTCAAAAATAAATTAAAAATAAAAGCAAACAAATGTTCTCTGGTTTATTGTAATAACATGTATAGTAAAAATATTTTTAATACATTCTGTACACAATGTTGCCTTAGAGGTTGACTTTTGGAAAGGCATGAACAAAAACATTAAACCATAAAGTAAATGAAGGCTGTACACAGATGCTTAAAAAAGTTTCGCTTCCATGTGAAATGCAGCGGTCAGACGTCAGGCGCCACGGGCCGGAGAGTCCTTTATATGAATTCAGATCAAAGGAAATTATTGCTCAGTCGACGTCTCAATCCAATCCGCCAGACCTTTAAAATCAAACAAAACTACCCTTCAAAAAGCAAAAAATGCATCAACTAAACGTCTAAGCAACTCGATTTCAGCCGTTTAGGTTGATCAAACTAAAGAGGTCACCTGAGGAGTGGTGGGCAGGTCAAAGGTCATCCAGTGGATCAGAGCTACCCAGAACTCCACTAGACCGTGAAACGCACGCAAACCTATGAACATCAGACAGACGCACGCGTGTGCGAAGGGTTTAACGCACGCCAGGTCTCTTTAAAAGTGATCGGACAGTCAGAGCAGGAAACGCATCACCAAACACACATCCGACCAATGACGGCGGTTCCGCACGAGCACAAGAGAGCCGGGGCTGACGTGTTCCTGCCAGATCTTCTCTGAGGTGCAGGACGGGGCGAGCTCGTCTGATGTCACTTCCTGTGGCGTCACTCGTTCAGGGCGAGGATGATGTCGTCCTCCAGGTCCGAGTTATCAGAGCTGTCCGCTGTGGGAAGAGGAGAGCGCGTTTCAGGACAGGAAGATCTCATTCATCACACAATCTCTCTCTTTATGATCTCTTAAGGCGAGACACGGCAGGCAAAAACATCGCTTTGTCATGCAGTGATCAGTTCCGAGATTTTGGGCTAGTTTACTCCTTCAATGTGCTGCAATAAAGAAAACATTGAAAATATACATTAAGATGTTTATTTTGTTACATTTTGTTTCCTTGCGGCAGTAAATTACGGAAAGCGGTTTCGCTGTAAAGCTCGGAGTCTCCTGCACAACGCTGTGTAACCCAAATATGGGCATTTCCTTTCTATCAGTAACCAATCGTGAATGTCCAAAGGGTGATTTAAAGCTAATGACGAAATCTCATTGGCCACTGCTGGTTTCTGCTAACGTGATTCGCTCAGACGCATCACATGGTGTACTCTGCCAATGTTAATTCATTGCGTTACTGCAGTTGTAGGCATTATATGCCTGCCATGTTATTAAATAATCAGTTTTCATGAGCTTGAAATATTATATATTATTATTACTAAGGGCCTGAGTATTTATTCTGTTTTTGACCAATTTTTTCCAATAGAAATGTATTAAATTCCCTACTTAAATCTTTAAATGCCTTTCTCAAAATGAGTTTTGTGTCATTCTCCAGTAGAAACGTCTCAGCCTGTGTAGCACCAAACTCTCCAGTTACACACTTCGCAGTATTCTGAAGATATTTCAGAGGGATTTGTTCATAAATCAATCCTGGACTGATTTATGTGACATTTTAATAAAAAAAATATGGCGAAAATCGTTTTTTTAAGGCTATGGACAGTATATTTTTGATTTCCTAGCATATATCCTGAAATCCCTCTGAACTTTTTTTTTCATCTTGTGTGTAAACCAAATAAAAAAATAATTTTGCACCTGGCTTTATCATATGTTCAGATCTATCTACCGAAAATATATGCACAATTGCGCATATTTAATGAGATAATGCCTAATTTGCATAATTAAACATACAAATTTCAAAAACGTATAATACATTTTTTTTATATACTTGTGTAAGTAATCAACTGAGGAAGTTTCATGGTGATATCTATTATTTTTAAAATTTACTCTATTCGCCTGTAGCGTCTCGCCTTAAATGCTAAAAAAGGGAAATAGATCAAAAGTGCAGCACAAGCAATGCTGCGGTAACCATCCACTGACAGGACACTATGATAAAGATATCGCTGTACTAATTCAGATTGATTGTTTTTCTCCCATGAATATATGATTGACCTGAGGAGTGAAAGCTGTATCTTCTCCATGAGCAAGAGCACGCTCAGCGAAACGCCTCTATTTCAGGTGTGTGTGAACCGATAGCTTTATCAATACAATAAAAAATACACTTCCCATATGTTGTCTTTCAATAATGCACTTTTCATAAATGTGGCTGTTTTCCAGGACTTGCATTTCAAAAAGTCAAATCAAGCACTTCGATGCCGTGACATCATCATAATACTGGATGAATGTCGAACTCACTGTTGTCCAGCACAAGCTCCACATCTCGCTCATTATCATCAGAATCATCATCATCGTCGTCTTCATCATCATCGTCGTCGTCGTCGTCGTCGTCATCGTCGTCCTCGTCAGCCTCTTCATCCAGGAGGCGCGCCACCTCCTCATCATCGGACGGGGAGAAGTCGTGCTCTCCATCCTCCTCGCCGTTGTTCTCGTTCAGCTCGGCCAGCAGCGGGTCGGTGTCGATGTCATCGATGTCATCATCAGAGTCGTCGTCGTCGTCTTCGTCCTGGTCGTCCTCCTCCTGAAACACACACACACACACACACGATTACTCCTGACCCTGAACGCCAGTCAAACTCTGAGGTGTCTAGATCTGTGCAAGTGAAGCTGAACTAGATCTCCAGTCGGATCTGAAGCAGAAGCTGCACTGCATTTCACAAGCAGAGAGTGTGCTTTTGCAGACATCACATTTCATTATAAAGGTAAAAATGATGGTGATAAATGATCAAATGTTGTTTAAAAAAAAAGAATTGTACAATTGAGAATCCCCAGAATGGCTCATTCCAGCAAAACACTCCCACAAATATATATATACACACACTAGGGCTGTCGGAATGGCTGAAAAGATGAATGCGAATTTCTTTCTTAAACATTAGCAAAATTCTAATTATATTCCACTTCTAAAGGCCATAGTTAATGTGAGAGGGGAAAGGGCTGCACTGCCTGCTATGGCCACAAGAGGGACGAGCGCAATAACCAAATCAAGCACTGCATTTTGAAACAATTGTTCTTAAATGAAATATTATTTCCTTAATGTGCATGAAAGGAGAATTAGTGTCAGAGTTTTCAGATGTGTGTTTAGCATCAGCCTCACCTGCTCTTCCTCATCCTCCTCCTCCTCAGCGAGTCTCTGGCGGCCCACCTCATACAGACGACACACAGTGTCCATGTTTATCGAGTCCTGATTCTGTAGCGCACACACACACACGTTACAGTGTCGAACATGATAATTATGGGAGACAGATGTAGTCGACATTTTCTTGCACGAATGTAGTTTTGTAGACTTCACTTCCGAGAAGATCAGTGTGTTCACTGTCATCAAACCAAACAAGAATCTTCATTTTAAAAGCACAAAGACTCAGAGTTGGTGTAGTACTAGTATTTGAGTTTAAAAAATAAAAATGAGTAAATGTTCAAAATGAGTACAATTATGTAAAAGATTCTTTAAATGTACTTGTGCTAAAAATTGTATAAAATAAAAATCTGGATCCGTAAATAAGTCCTTAAAAGTGTGTCCCAGAGTTGGTGCAGCTATATATACAAAACCATATAAAATGAATGAATGAATGAACGAATGAATGAACGAATGAACGAATGAATGAATGAATGAATGAATGAATGAATGAATGAACAAATGAACGAATGAATGAACGAATGAACGAATGAATGAATGAATGAGAGCGCCGCATACCTCGATGACGGCCAGATAGCAGTCTTTGGTGTCTGTGCACAGGTCGAAAATATTCCTCTTCACATCAATGGTGGCTGAGAAAGCAAACATTTTATTTTATATTCATTATTCAATACAATTATTGGCATTATTCATCAGCGTAAAGAAAAACTCATTACAGAAAGACTGGGTTATTTTCAAAGTAAAGTCTATGGACAGCATGTGACCGCTTGTCTCTTATGTCAATGCTTTTACACTAACCAGACACAACATATATATTTGATCCGACAGATCACATCATGCTCTTTTGTAAAAGCTGAAGGATGTTTATGATGGAGATACCGATGGGTTTGTAGTCGGTGGCATCGAAGGTCCTGAAGGAGGATCCGAAGGGGCTCTTCATCTGCTGCTCCATCATGTCATCCTCATCGTCAGCCTGCAACATGGCTACACACACACACACACACACACAACATCAGCAACACACTCCAGAACATCAGCAACACACTCCAGAACATCAGCAACACACTCCAGAACATCAGCAACACACTCCAGAACATCAGCAACACACTCCAGAACATCAGTGAAACACACATATTCATCCAGAGCACTTTACACTTCAATATCTGCAGAAACACAGATTGTGTGTGTACACTCTTATGACACGACGCATTCAAATGTTGTGCTGAATTTCACATTCCAACAGGAAAATGACCTTAAAGTTTCCCTTTTCTGCCCTTTTATAAACTCTTGATGATGTTTCAGGCTCTACTAGAACAGGTTCTCCTGCTTGAATGTTGATTATTCTCCTCATATTCTCCATTGTTGCGGCTCCTCTCTTCCCAGTCTGTCAGTAACGCTCTGTTTACTTCCTGTCTCTATGAAGCCCCTCCTCCTGAAAAGCACACTGTGCTCTGATTGGCCGGCTCAAGCGCTTCGAGTGTGTTTGGGAAATGCCCCGCCCCTTTCCATAACCGCCAGTTTAACACACTACTAACTCACTCAACCAGGCCCCGCCCCTTTATTCTGCGTATGGATTATTATAATGAGGAATATTGTGACGTGTTCGTTCCCGGGAGAAACTCAAGACTACGATGGAGGCGTTTCAGGAGTTCAGGAACACTGACACTGATATAGAGAAGAACTGGAGCTTTCTCATGATCGAACAGCAACATCACACACTAAACACCGATGAGCGTGGAGGAAAGCATCGCAGTGCTCTTTAAACACACAACAGTGGTTTATTGACGACAGAGCCGGATCAATCAGAGGCCAGACGTATCAGACACATCTCTGCAGGAACTGGAGAACATCCAGACAGTCCTCGGAGGATCTGCAGAGAACGGCAGACGTCCCCGGGTCCAGGGGTGCACAAGAGGACCCAGAAACACCCGAGGCTGTAATCGCTGAAGCCGAAGTTTGATTACTCTGAGTACCGAGTCTGAATACTGATGGCAATGTGAGATTTACATTTTCTTCTAAATTTGTCAAGTCATCAAAAACTGTTTTTGCTTTGTCAACATGGGGTATTGTGGAAGCTTGTTTCCGCCACAGAAGAAAACATTTTAAAAGATAATTGTGACTTTCTCACAATTGCGATTTTACATCTCGGAATTCTGACTTTATTTCTCAGAATAGCGTGATATAAACTTATGAGAAAAAAGTCAGAAAACCGTGATATAAAGTTGCAATTGTGTGTTATATAGTCAGAATTGCATGACAAATTCGCAATTGCAAGTTATAAAGTCAAAATTGCGTGATATAAAGTCAAAATTGCGAGTTAAAGTCAGAATTGTGTGATATAAATTAGTAATTGCAAGTTATAAAGTCAGAATTGCATGATATAAAGTCGCAATTGTGTTATAGTCATAATTGCGTTATATAAGTCGCAATTGAGAGATATAAAATCAGAATTGCGTGATATAAAGTTGCAATTGTGTTATAGTCAGAATTGCGTTATATAAAGTCGCAATTGCGAGATATAAAGTCAGAATTGCGTGATATAAAGTTGCAATTGCGAGATATAAAGTCAGAATTGCGTGTTATAAAGTCGCAATTGCGAGATATAGTCATAATTGCGTGATATAAAGTCGCAATTGTATGTTATAAAGTCAGAATTGCGTTATATAAAGTTGCAATTGTGTGTTATAAAATCAGAATTGCGTGATATAAAGTTGCAATTGTGTGTTATAAAGTCAGAACTGCGTGATACATTTGCAATTGTGTGTTAAATCAGATTTGCGTTATATAAAGTTGCAATTGCGAGATATAAAGTCAGAATTGTGTGATATAAATTCGTAATTGCAAGTTATAAAGTCAGAATTGCGAAATATAAAGTCGCAATTGTGTTATAGTCATAATTGCGTGATATAAAGTCGCAATTGCGAGATATAAAGTCATAATTGCGCAATATAAAGTCGCAATTGTGTTATAGTCATAATTGCGTTATATAAAGTCGCAATTGCGAGATATAAAGTCAGAATTGCGTGATATAAAGTCGCAATTGTGTTATTGTCAGAATTGCGTTATATAAAGTCGCAATTGCGAGATATAAAGTCAGAATTGCGTGATATAAAGTTGCAATTGTGTTATAAAGTCAGAATTGCGTGATATAAAGTTGCAATTGCGAGATATAAAGTCAGAATTGCGTGATATTATAAAGTTGCAATTGTGTTATAAAGTCAGAACTGCGTGATACATTTGCAATTGTGTGTTAAATCAGATTTGCGTTCTATAAAGTTGCAATTGCGAGATATAAAGTCAGAATTGTGAGTTATAAATTCGTAATTGCGAGTTATAAAGTCAGAATTGCGAGATAAAAAGTCGCAATTAGCTTTTTTATTTGTTATCCTGTGGCGGACACAAGCTCCCAGAGGGTATGGAGGGCAGACCGACGAGAAATAAAGCATTAGACGGCAACATTAACTGAGAAAGAGAAAAGTGAAGGATCTGAATGCACTGCATCTGTGTCTCTCACCTCCATAAATGACGGTTCCGTTGTTGTTGAACACGATCCTGCACTGATCCAGCGCTGGTACGGTGTGGAGGAGATGAAACGTCCTCAAATCCCACTGGAGCTCCAGTTAAAGACAACAACTCAGCATTCAAGCATCCACACGTTTCCCGGGAACACTTTTCCCAAATCCACCCTATGTCTACATTAACAGGCACTCGTCTACCGGGTCGGTGCCTTTAACTACTGCGTACTTTAATCAAAAACTAAATTAATACTTACAAAGTGCTTATTGTGTTGATGCTGTAGTGTAAAACTCAGGTTGGGACGGGTTTGCTTGTTTAAGGGTTAATTGTAGATGGCATTTTAAAAATATATGTACAATGTAAAAACATGTATGCGCATTGTATCAAACAATTTATTTAAATTTTAGTACATAGTAGTTAAAGGCGCCTAATATAAAGTGGGACACGTCTCATTTATTAACATTAGTTAATGCACTAGTTAAACTGAGAAATGTATTAATGAATGTTCCTTAATACAGTTGTTCAGTGTTCGCTCATGCTAGCTCACAGTGCATTCACTAATGTCAACACATACAACATTTGATTTAAAACCGTATTGTAAAGAGTGAAAGTCCCCCTGTGGTGTAAATCCAGCGTTTACGTTGTTTATGTGTGTATGTGGTGTTTATGTTTAAACTACAAACTACCTTGTAACCAATCAGATCAACGTGTGATCGTCAACCAGTGAGAACCACTCTGAGCTGAGTGAGTGGAGGCGGGGCTCATTTGCATATTCATAGAACCGCGCATACTAAATGAGGCGAGGGTGTCGAGTTACATTCAAGATATTTTAAAGGCATGAAGGAAAAAACGCTGATTTCATTTTGGTGATCAACGATGAGTTTTAAGGGATAAAAGTATTGACTTCTGGGGGACTTTAACAGGATCAGAAAACTGCTTCATAATAAAACAGTGGTTCACTGAGCAGAAAAGCATACGATCTCCGTGTTGATGATGACCTCTAACCCATTGGGATGGAAAACGCCACTGATGTTCATGTTGAACTTGTCGAACTTGTGTATGGCCTGCGATGTGCGCACGTCCCACATGACCCCGTCGTTCAGGACCAGGTCGTCTGTGGGGTTAAACGTGGCACAGTTGCGCTTGTAGTTGTTGGCCAGGTCGGGGTTATTGAGGGTCAGGATCTTCTGTCCTGTCTGGATGTCATATATCTGCAGAAATACACATGGCGATATCATTTGATTAGGGATACACCGATATGGACATTTTACCGATAACCGATAATTATTTATATTATATACACCGATGTATTTTCTTGGTTATGTGAACATTTCCCTGTCAGCTGGGTATCAGCTTCACATTAGGGACGCACCGATATGAACATTTTGTCCGATACCGATAACCGATAATTCTTTATATTTGATAACCGATAAATCTAAATCCAAATTTTTATATCATTTCTGAGAGCCTGATTACAAAAACAAAAGTATCATCATTAAAATCCATGTCGCAAGCACACAGTTATGATGTTCTCATTATAATTTTAACAGCCTATATGTTGCACTGAACTGTATTTTCCTTTTTTATGATTACAATAATTTTTCAAGGAATTCGAATCCATCATGTTGAACAGTGCGCATCTGGAGCGTCTCAGCTGAAGGAAATAATACACTATTCATTGGCTTTAATATATCGGACACATTTTCTAATTGGCCTGATAATGATAACATTAAAGATGAACGTATATCGGCCGATACCGATATAGTGGCCGATATATCGAGCTCCCTAAATTTAATCACATATTATATACAAGTTTTAAAACACCATTTAGAATCTGCATGTTTTTATTTAGTCCTGAATAAGAGCTGATTCCCTAATGTTCGAGACTCGGAACACAACACTGAGTGAATGGAAGACAAAGGCATTGGTTAGGAAGGAGACTTGCATGTGCGATGTGCTCTTTGGTTCCTATGACTCTGTCCTGAGAGAGTTTGCTGAACTCCACATAATGATCATCCAGGAATGAATGCCTGGAAAAGAGGAGTTCATCAATTAAAAACCCATGAGGAGAATATGAGTCGAGTTCTGATGGCTTGAAGACTCACTTCATGATGAACACAGACTTCATCCCCCACAGCGCTGATAACGGGTAACTCCAAGATGCTGACGTCAACAGCAGCGAGCCGTCCTGACACACACACACACACACATTAAGACAATCACAACGGTGTACTTTGATACTAGAGGCAGATCAGGAAAACTCCACCATCTGATGTGGATGAATCATTTCAATCGCCTAAATTCTTTGTATCAGCTTTATTTTACCATGGAAACTAAAAAACATTATTTCACGGCTCTGTGGAATGCTTGATTCTGATTGGTCAATCACACATCCAGCGGTGTATTATTCCCAGATAACAGCAGAAACACCGGCTCATCCGGTCACTGAAGACAGCAGCGCTATACACTCGCTAGGAGCGGTCTTTCCTCGTGGAAGTTTTGCGTTTGGTGAGCTAATAAAATATTAAAACTCAGTCAAATCAATATTTTGTGCACAGTTATTTAATAATGTGGACTCGCTCCCTCTCGTTTCATACAAACGCAGCGGCGGCCATTTTGTGACTATTGTTTTGTTCACTGTTGGATTATAAGATACAAACAGGTGCGATTTTAAAACAGTTTAATCTGAAATCAATATCTCTGATCTCCATAACTATTTATGTGGTGAAAGTGTTATGACTGTATACTGTATCTCCTACATGTCCGTCTAGTTTGATCTCGTCGCTGAAACTGCTCTCTCCACTTTGCGTTTAAAGAGCTAATAAAATATTTCAACTCAATATTTTGTGTCTAATTAATAACTTGTGGCAAGTATCCGTGTAATAAGCGGGATAATATACATCCAGCCGGTTGTGATCTCAGAATAAACCCCTTCAGGTGTGTGTGTGTGTGTGTGTGTGTGTGTGTGTGTGTTGTCAGAATAAACCCCTTCAGGTATGTGTGTGTGTGTGTGTGTGTGTGTGTGTGTTGTCAGAATAAACCCCTTCAGGTGTGTGTGTGTGTGTGTGTGTGTGTGTGTTGTCAGAATAAACCCCTTCAGGTGTGTGTGTGTGTGTGTGTGTGTTGTCAGAATAAACCCCTTCAGGTGTGTGTGTGTGTGTGTGTGTGTTGTCAGAATAAACCCCTTCAGGTGTGTGTGTGTGTGTGTGTGTGTGTTGTCAGAATAAACCCCTTCAGGTGTGTGTGTGTGTGTGTGTGTGTGTGTGTGTGTTGTCGTCAGAATAAACCCCTTCAGGTGTGTGTTGTCAGAATAAACCCCTTCAGGTGTGTGTGTGTGTTGTCAGAATAAACCCCTTCAGGTGTGTGTGTGTGTGTGTGTGTGTGTGTGTGTGTTGTCAGAATAAACCCCTTCAGGTTTGTGTGTGTGTGTGTGTGTGTTGTCAGAATAAACCCCTTCAGGTGTGTGTGTGTGTGTGTGTGTGTGTGTGTGTGTGTGTGTGTGTGTGTGTGTGTTGTCGTCAGAATAAACCCCTTCAGGTGTGTGTTGTCAGAATAAACCCCTTCAGGTGTGTGTGTGTGTTGTCAGAATAAACCCCTTCAGGTGAGTGTGTGTGTGTTGTCAGAATAAACCCCCTCAGGTGTGTGTGTGTGTGTTGTCAGAATAAACCCCCTCAGGTGTGTGTGTGTTGTCAGAAAAAACCCCCTCAGGTGTGTGTGTGTGTGTTGTCAGAATAAACCCCTTCAGGTGTGTGTGTGTGTGTTGTCAGAATAAACCCCTTCAGGTGTGTGTGTGTGTTGTCAGAATAAACCCCTTCAGGTGTGTGTTGTCAGAATAAACCCCCTCAGGTGTGTGTGTGTGTGTTGTCAGAATAAACCCCCTCAGGTGTGTGTGTGTTGTCAGAAAAAAAACCCTCAGGTGTGTGTGTGTGTGTGTTGTCAGAATAAACCCCCTCAGGTGTGTGTGTGTGTGTTGTCAGAATAAACCCCCTCAGGTGTGTGTGTGTGTGTGTGTTGTCAGAATAAACCCCCTCAGGTGTGTGTGTGTGTTGTCAGAATAAACCCCCTCAGGTGTGTTGTGTGTGTGTGTGTTGTCAGAATAAACCCCCTCAGGTGTGTGTGTGTGTGTTGTCAGAATAAACCCCCTCAGGTGTGTGTGTGTGTGTGTGTTGTCAGAATAAACCCCCTCAGGTGTGTGTGTGTGTGTTGTCAGAATAAACCCCTTCAGGTGTGTGTGTGTGTTTTGTCAGAATAAACCCCTTCAGGTGTGTGTGTGTGTTGTCAGAATAAACCCCTTCAGGTGTGTGTGTGTGTTTTGTCAGAATAAACCCCTTCAGGTGTGTGTGTGTGTTGTCAGAATAAACCCCTTCAGGTGTGTGTGTGTGTTGCCAGAATAAACCCCCTCAGGTGTGTGTGTGTTGTCAGAAAAAAACCCCTCAGGTGTGTGTGTGTGTGTGTTGTCAGAATAAACCCCTTCAGGTGTGTGTGTGTTTTCAGAATAAACCCCTTCAGGTGTGTGTGTGTGTGTGATCTCAGAATAAACCCCCTCAGGTGTGTGTGTGATCTCAGAATAAACCCCCTCAGGATCCTGATCACCCTGTCGGGTTTATTCTGAGATAACAACCGGCTGGATGTACATTATCCCGTACTTATACGCCTACTACAAAAACGCATTCAATTCAGACGCAAGATCTGGCCGAATCGATCCTAACCAGGGTACTTTTGAAACGCGTTAAAGCACAACTAAAAGCATGTTGTTATATAAAGGCCACACAAAAACTTTAAGAAAGAATCGAAGAACGAACAGGTTTGACATCATTTCAAATAAAGTCTGGCCATGAAGGAGCATCGAAACAGCTCGTCGAAGTGAGCCTTCACTCCGGCAGATAAGAGCCTTGATCTCCCATTGGTCGGTGTGGTGATGATGTAATCAATGGGAGTGGCTCTGAGGCTTTCTTTGAGGTGTAAATCTTCTCCGGTTCATTTCTTCAGTTCAGTCGGTCGAGCTCAGACGCGATTAAAAACATGAACTCACAGGAGAGACGCTTTATAGCAGAAACTCAAGCTGTGATTCTAACTGAAAGAGACTCTGACCCGGTTTTCATGTTTAATACAGTAAAGCTGCTGCTTTAAAGCAATCTATTGTATAAAGTGCTGTATGAATACACGTGACGTGCCTGTAGATCTGAATCTCAGAGCTGCTGCAAACATCTCCACAGCTCTATGATCAGATGCTTTCTGAACTGCTGTTCTCATTTCTGTGGTGTTTATTCTGTTATTGAGAGGAAAGCGTGCAGCTCTTATTTACATATCCATCTAAACGCCGCTCTCATGTTCACTAACAGTATATTACCGTAAAGGTGTTTCAAACTACTGTTTACCACCAAGTGAAGAATGAAACAGAACTTCTCTGAGAGTATATGGGGGCCTTTAGGGCTGGAGGTGTGTGTGTGTGTGTGTGTGCTTACTCTGGAGGGCTCGAGGTGTGTGTGTGTGTGTGTGTGTGTGTGTGTGTGTGTGTGTGTGTGTGTGCTTACTCTGGAGGGCTGGAGGTGTGTGTGTGTGTGTGTGTGCTTACTCTGGAGGGCTCGAGGTGTGTGATGGCTGAGCTGTGGCAGCTGTAACTGGCCTCCTCTTGTCCACTGAACACGTTGTAGAGTTTGAGCTGGCCGGTGCACGTGCCCAACATCAGGAACCGCTCTCGCGCCGAGAACGCACAACACATGAAGCCACTCTCATCCTCCTCAGCCTCCCTGAACACCGAGATCGGCCGAAACCTGGACACACACACACGGACACACAGCACTTAATATAATCATCATCGGCAGGGAAACATTTCAATATAGTGTGTCTCCTATTTTAAAACCCATGAGCTGCCACTGTGAAGAGCACCTGACCCATTACCCAGAAACCCCAGTGAAGAGCACCTGCTGAAGATGAGATGCCTGTCGAAGCAGCCTCCGTCCACTCCGCCGTATTTGGGGTACACGACCCGGCGAGTGTGTCGCGGGGTGAAGTTGGTGGGCGCCTGGCGTCTCTGCTTGGGCTCGGGACACTGATGAGGCGTGAACAGGCTGAAGGGAGGACACGTCGTCACCGGGTTCTTGCAGCGCGCGTGCTGCTCGCGCAAATACTCCGTTATTATACTGCAAACAACAACACACGCCACAATTATTCCTACCAAACGGTTAGTTTCAGTCCTTGAGTCTGATTGGTCAATAGCGGCGTTTTCTTCACGATAACACACGACCGCTTCACCCAACGGCTCTATGTATCACTACACAACACCCCTAGCAACCACTCTTAGCAACGTATGTTTGATCTCATTGATATTGATAAGCTTATAGAGTGAGTATTGTGAGAGATCGAGTAAAAGTCTTCTCTACTGACTGACTCACTCATAAAGTCCGTCTTCGCCGCCATCTAATGACGAAAACATTTATTTAACTTCTGTTGCCATTTACGGTCAGGGACTATTTTTTACAGCGGAAGGAAGACTTTGTGATTTTACTAAGTGATTTATAGTGATATAGATTAAATAGTTGCATTGATACATATTTTTTGGCTTTAATATTTGTAATGTGTGGTAACGCTTTTGTAAAAGCAATAAGATACTCGAGGCTAGTGCTGTATCGTGAATAAGTATATAGAATAAGTGTATAAGTGAATAGAGAGAACACGTGTAGCCTCGAGCCTTATTGCTTACATATTAATCATTTCTAGGCCACAATCAACACCACGGGGCGACCAATCGTTTTACATATTGCTTTAGTGTTCAGGAGTACTGGTGTCTTGTGACTCTGATCACCTAATAGTTTCTGATGTCAGAAGGGCTTTTATTTTAAGTCCCCCTGTGGTGTAAATCCAGCGTTTAATGTTGTTTATGTGTCTATGTGGTGTTATTAATATGCTTTAAGACAAACCATCTTTTTTTGTAAATTAAATGAATGTACTATATTTTAGTTTGATAATGTTTTTTATTTAATATTTAGTTTTTAGGGGATTTTATGGTACTACATTATATTTACGCTGTATTTATAATCCATTTATTCACTTTTTGAGCATAGACCTGAAAATAAAATTTCCAACTTAAACTGTGGTAAATCTTGACTTCTTTAGAGCAACACTTTTAACTTTGGTCTCTTTTCAAAGACAACAGTTGGCAGATTATTGCTGAAGTGAGAAAAGTTTATGACTTTTATAAAAAGTTTTTAAGTGAACTTAAAAAGTAACAGAATTGCGCAAAAATACTATTTTTATATGAAATAAATATATTTAAAAAATAAAATTGTACTCTAAAACTGCACAAAAAATGTAATCAAAGCCATAACCTAAACAAGTTGTGTTCTAAATTTGAGCTTGATATCTCAGTAAATGAGCTTTCAGTGAGATGTTGCAGTACCAAACGCTTCCACTAGATAAAATTCGTCTCCCATTCGTTTCCAATGCGTCATTTCTGGCCGCGAGGGGCAAGAGTGACTATTCTTTTCAGGACCCTTTAACCTGTTCGAATCATGTCCATGATTTTTTTGTGTGTTTACTAGTGCCGGGCCGTTATCGGCGTTAACGTGCTGCGTTAACGTGAGACTCTTATCGGGCGATAAAAAAAAATATCGCCGTTAATCAAAGTTGGGTTGGGATCATAAATAGCTTTTTCGAATATCGTTATATTTTCGCGTAATTCTAATGTGTAGTATGACGCCACGCCTACTGTCACAGATCGCGCAGCAGGGTATTTTCCTGTCAGGGACACAAGGTGTACTTTTACTTTGTTACGTTGGGCGACGTTCCTCTCGTTACTTTATTTTAATGCAATACGTTGTTAAATGAGTTTATTCCAAGCGCGCTGTGTCCTTTGTATGGGCACGAGCGATGCTCATTTACAAATGAATCACTCTTTTGAGTCGATTCTGTTCAAAGACTTCATCAAACAAGTTGTCAGATGATCTGTCTAAATTGGTTCGCGAATCAGTTGATCTGTTCAGTTCCTCGCGGACTGAATCGTCTGAAGCGCTTTCAATTCACACTCGGAGTCGAAACAGGAAGATTTAAGAGCATCAAGAGCGCTGGATGAAGTGGCCGATCTACAGTCTAGTGAATGCAAATCTGCAAATGCATCATATTTTTGCCAGCGATGAAGATCTTTATTAGTTGAACATCTTCGTAAGCTGTCTGTGAATGAATGATTCCACAGGACGATACATTCGGTTTCATTTCATTCAGGTAATACATTGTGTGTGTATTGTGTGTGTATTGCGCAGTGGCATAATCACACGAATAGTTTACATTGATTGAAACTAATTTGTTTAAAAATGAGGCTATTGCAGTAACAAGGCAGGTTCACATAAAATTCTTATGACATATGATGACATTATTTTTTGATCTAACGAGCATTGGCGATGCAAAAACGGACTGTCGTGCGTATTGTTTTTCTTCTTCTTCCAATTAGCCTACTATGTTAAAAAAAGGAAGAAAACATGTTACTTGTTCAATTAATAAACAGTTTGTTTGATGACAAATCGCTAAAGATGAAATTGGCCTCCCTTTCTGTCATTGCGTTTTTTTTTTTTTTTTACGATATTCGACTTTTGCTCCTCGATTGTCGAATGGCATTTTTGGCAGAAATGCACATCCCTACGCGAGGCAAACTATTCTCAAAAACTTACTTTTAGTCATTATTTGGGTAGCACACATATTCTGAATGCCTTCGGGAGAATTCAAATGAGCCATTTTAATCTAGATTAATCTAGATTTTAAAAATTAATCTATGCCCACCTCTAGTGTTTACATAGCAAGTGCTAAAACCTTTATCAAGTTTCGTACCATTCCAATGAAGTAAAAAATTCTAAAAAAACAAAACGTAAAATCTTTCGGTCAAAGATGCCCGAAGAGCACGGGATGCTAGGTATATAAGCAGAGACTAGCACACCTGTCTAGAGAAGGTGGAGAGGGCAGATGTCGGTCCAGCTGCTTCTTCATAGCCGGACTCTGAATAAAAGCGCCATGATCTGATTTCTGCCTCAGCACTTTCGGCCTCTTCCCTCCAGCGGCGGGACACGGTGACGGGCGCTCCCGCGAGAACACGATTCGCCCGATTAGCGGAGAGCCGTTGCTGTGGTGAGAAACGGCAGGCGACGGTGGGGGCGGAGCCTGTGAGGTCGAGGGGCGGGGCTGCAGGTGATGAGGGGTGTGGCCACCCAAACGAGCCGCAACTCCGTTAGTGAGCCGAGGAGTCCGAGGGATGCCGGCGGCAGGAGAAGGAGGTGTGGCCACAGAAACGGGAGTGAACGGCGGCACGCTAGCATGTGTTAGCGCATGTAGCCCCATGGGAAGCTCAGCTTCCTTCGTTAAAGCCGTAGCCGTGTCCGAAAGACCTTTAGATAAAAGATGATTCCGAATTAGCAGAAGTAGTTCCTTCTCTGGAAACGAGATGCGCGACTGCGCCACGACATTAGCTCTCTGCAGCCGCGCTAACGACACGTCAGTGCCGATCAACAAAGGCTTCCCGGACACTCGCTCGATTAGCTCTGCTGCAAACTTGCAGAAGCGCACGTGTTCGCTACGCTTGTCCTGAAGCACCGGCTCCTTCATGAGCTGCTGGATCTGACCGCTGCTGAATAGCGGAAGCTTGCTAATGATTTGCCGTACCGCGGCGCTACGTGCTAATCCAACCAAGGCTTTGCACGCTAGCGCGCGGATCTGGTCAGCATCAGTGATGGGCATCTTGATGGTCAGCAGGGACAGCAGGACTTTGATCCCGTTGTTGGACTGAACCACGTTCCACATCTTGGCTAGCACGCTCTCGCTCGCGCGGTGGCTCTGCGGCAGACGCCGGCGTGGCGTTCCCGAGATGAACTTGCCGATGCTGGAGACGCGCTTGTCCGGAGCGCAGACGCAGTTTATGATCACCTGCAGGGCCGACTTCTGGATCTCGGCGTCGTTTACGAATACTTCCCCCTCGGCGACGACCAGCACGATGCTCATCCCTGCAGGACACAGGAATCACACTTGATTAATACTGGATGTCCATACAGAACAAACACATGCAATCTCAAAACTTGATCATGCATCTCAGATTCTGTGAAAGTCAGCATGAAATCAAACATGTAAATTCTTGTTTTGGTTTTTAATGGAATATTGCAGTGTTTATTGTAAATGATTTATCAGTGCACATCATGCTTTATTTTTAACCCTCTGGTGCTCTTCGAGTGTCGGTCAAAAATGACAAATTTATTTTTAATTTCAATCAAATGAATGTACATTTTAGTTCGATAACTTTATTTAATATTTTGTGTTTTTCTGGGATTTTATGGTACTAAATTATATTACGGTAAAATGTTCATTTCGGAGCTCCTCTGCTTCACATGTCTGTGCCGGTAAACGACGTGTCATTGTTCAGGCAGACGCGTCAAGCATGCTAACGGCTACATATGGCAGAGTAAATGGCTTCGGCTCCTGTAGGGACAAGCGCTTCTCACCGACAGTGGAGATGGAGGAGCCGCTCTCGTCCAGCACCGCCACGTTCTCCGACAGCAGAACCTGAGTCTTGGGGATGACCGTCAGAATGCTCAGGATGTCCAGCGCGTACCGCACAGTGTCAGCCCTGACACACACACACACACACACACCAGAGGTGCAACGTCATTTTCCACCTCATTACTAAAGGGTTTACACAATAGTGCAACAGATCTTAAAAAAAAAAAATTAAATCAAGTGCACATCAATTTAAAAAAAATATATATTATTAAATGTATTTATTTTTTATTTTTTCAGGGGCTGGTTGATTAAGTTGGGGTAATGGGTAAAAAACAAAACATGTCACTGTTACAAAAAAAAAATTCTGAATGATGTTCATGTTTAGAAAAGCAAAAAAATAAATAAATAATGTGCACATCATGAGTCACATGACATGAACACTTGTGTATGGGGTGGGCAATACGCTGAACATTTACATTGTGTTTTTCCACTGTAGAAATAAATGCAACTTGATTCACGCACAAATGACTCATTTGAGCATATTATATTGGAGAATATTGATTTTAAAGTAGTACAGTTGCACCGTACACAGGTGCTCAGATCAACCCATGCCTTAAAAGCACTTTCAAAATAAAAGTCCTGCTTCCAAATAATAGAAAAGCAGCAAACACTACAATAGTTCTTCGTATAGAGTTCACTGGGTTTAATGGGCCGGTAAACTACTGAAGATGGAGGACGGGAGCTGGACGCTGGAAAGCTTGTGTTCACAGTGCTTCCACTCGCTTCCCACACATCGGCAAACAAACAGAGTTATCGCCTGATACAAATAATAATAAAATGTGTGTGTGTTATTTATAAATAAAATATCGGCCGATATATCGGTCTACCACTAGCAGTATGTGTATGTGTGCGTGTATACAGAATATATACACAACACACAAACCCTACCAAGTGGTAGAGCGATATATTTAACATAGACATATATATATGCCGATATATCGGTCAACCACAAGCAATAACACTTACAAACAATATTAGTATTACAAGACTACTTTGTATTGTGGTAGACTTTTTGGAATCGTATCATAAGAGATAAAAAGGTGTACATTGATACACTTCATAATCAACCAAACTTAAGGATAGTGTGATTTTTGCTTATATTTGCCACCGCTTCATCAGTCCGACATGTTGCGATCACAAAACCGGCCGAACTCGACTCACAATATTTCCCCTTTTCCACCAAAGCAAATTGAGAGCCGGTGCCGAACCAGTTCTGTGTGTTTCGACAGCCAAAGAACTGGTTCTCGGCCAGGAAAATTGGATCCAAAGCGGCACCAACTCTTTGCTGGACTAGAACCGTTCTCTACCATGTCATGCTTACGTCGGGGGCGGGGGGGGGGGGGGGGGGGGGGGGGGGGGGGGGGAATGGGAAAGCTGAGACGTATGGCGACGCACACAGTGACGTAACGACAGCGTTCGCTGGGCTCTCTAGTCAGTGGAAAAACAAACCGGTTCTGAGAAGGTTCGCAAGTTGAACCAACTTTGAACCGGCACCAGCTCCGAACCAGTTCTTTTTTGGTGTAAACGTGGTCTTTATCATCATTGACACTTTTACTCATGGAATTTGTGCAAACTGCATGTATTTCAACTATTGCATCTACAACCCAAAACCTTTGCTTTTTGGATGATGCTCCATTCACACCGATAGAAAGTCCAAGATGACTGCCATCAGAAAGTTTACTGCGATACATCAAACAAAATAACTGTTTGCACCTTTGATATAACGTACACGAACACCTCAAACAAACTCCCAGCATGCCCGGTGCTCACCTGCCGTAGTAGGTCCTCCAGTCGCAGGCGATGGAGATGAGCTGCAGCAGGAGCTGAACGCAGGACAGGATGTGGAAGACCTCGGCGGGCTCCCAGTACAGGCGCGCCGGCCCGAACTCGATCAGGAACTCCACCATCTCCACCACCTGCTCATGTGTGTAGGAGCACGCCTGCAACAGCCAACAGGAGAACACACTTCAGCACCACCCACCACTGGTGCGACCAATCACAACACTCACCGCTCGGGTCATTTACGGGTTTAGAGCCACGGATCGGATCAGAAATAAATAAATATATGGGGGGGGGTTATTACTTAAAGCTCACTTGAAGTTCTTTGAACACTACAAGCCTAACTGATAAAGTTCAAGAATGATTAAAAATGTTTTATGAACATTAATGACACAGACGACAGCAGGAATATTGGGCTGCCGTCACTTTAAGACTTTAACAAACATCCGTTTCGTGACAGAACCGAGAGAACACTTGCAGAGACGGTGTTTAGACATCATTGTGTGTGTGTGTGTGTGTGTGTGTCCGGGCAAGAAAGCGCGAAAGAGGAATCAATTCTGCGTTTAAAATAGGTTGAATGTGTAAATTGGCAAGACAAAACACGTCCAACACTATGATGGTTAAATTTAGTTTAACTTCTTTCCAAAATTCTATTAATTAAAACAGGGTTCGTACAGATTCCATAATCACAGATCTCACTTATCAAAATGTACCATTTTTATTTATTTATCTATTTACCAAATAAAGTGCAGCACATGAAATGCCTGGTACCTGTAACCATTAAACGGATAAAAGATATCGCTTTTCTTGAAGAATGAAAGCGGTATCATATACTTATATTATATATTTATATGAGCAATATCACGCGCATAGACATGTGAGATGGCTCTATATTAATATCAGACGGGTGAAAAAATATTGTTTTTAGAGATGCACGATATCGGTATCGGCCGAGATATGTTTATTTTATTGTTATTGTTATCGGCCCGGTAAGACAATTTGTCTGATATGTTAAAGCCGATGAATAGTGTATTATTTCCTTCAGCTGAGACGCTTCAGATGCGCACTGGTTGAAAATACTTTTGTCTGGTGATTGGAATCACTTCCAAAAGGAAAATACAGTTCAGTGCAACATTGGCTACATATCGGCTACATAAAATTATAATGAACATCATAATTGTGTGTTTGTGACATGGATTTTAATGATGAGACTTTTGTTTTTGTAATCAGACTCTCAAAAATTATATAAAATTTGGATTTAGATTTAACAGCAAATATATCGGTTATCGGCTTTCAAACATACAGAATTATCGTATCGGACAAAATGTTCATATCGGTGAATCCCTAATATATAGTAAAGTGTAATTCTGATTTTTCAAATTTGTCTTTGATCACAGGAATAAATTAGTTCACTATATACCCGTATGTTAATCATTGACTCTAATTTAAGTTTTAAAAAACACAAAGATCTCCAACTGTGTTAGAGCTAGTTTGGCTAATTTTAGACATATAAGACATCAGTTACCAATAGCTTCACCTAAACTGTTTTTACATACAATGATTTTTTTACATTTCTCTTACTGTTCTACAAGCTGGTCCCAGACGCTAAAACCCTTATGTACCCTTTACAAACAAGCTGTGAAAGTTCTTGACAAAAAAACAAGAAACTACCGGCATTGTATCATTATAAAAAAAATACAACTTATTAACCTTTGACAGTTTTCTAAGTTTTGTTGATGTGCCTGATGTATAAATTGATCCATGATCTTGCACCACCCCCACTCAAGCAATGCAGTGTTTCCCCTACCATTGTTTTGGGGGGGCGGCCAGCCCCCCCCCAAAACGACCCCCCGCCCCCCCTAAATTGCTGACGAAATCCAGTCATAAAAAAGGAATTTACTGTATAACGCGGAATTTCACGGAACTTGTAAATTTGAGGAAAACATAGAAAGCAGTTAAGTACACTTGAAATCAAATCGCGATGTAGACTAGTGTGTGTGAATATTAAAACACAAAGACTATTTAAATACGAACCCTGCATGTTCTGTGTGAATGAATGGTGCCGCCGACGCGCAGTTTCATTTACCACACACACACACACACACACACACACTGAAGCACGTGTGACGCTTGCGCTGTTTTTTTTTTCTGTTTTTTGAAGACACAAATGCATGAAGTTCCTCTCCAGGCTCTAGATCCACTCTGAAAGTCACTTCGTGATCATTTCAAGCTTCATTTGAGAAAAACTATCATCATGACATAAACCATAGACTGTAAACACACAGAAACTCAAAAGGTCTTCACGGCAACCCGTCAAAATAAAAGTTCGGTTTAAACTGACAGAAATATATTACCGTTGTACATTAGAATTCAGATATGTCCCAATGTAATAATACACTAATCCAAATAAATTATCAAATAAAAATTCATAAATATGAAATTTTTAAGGAATAATCCATGTTTTAATTTTAACAGTAAAGCTCATTGTGCAGCAAGTTATTTGACAAAAAGTTTATTAAATTTCATTTGATTGAAATTGACGATAAATGATAAAATTTGTGTTTTATGTCTTCATTTTATTACCAGAAAAAACACAACACGGAATTAGTGTGAATTTTTTTTTCATATATATATATTTTTTGAAAAAATTATAAGTTTAATGATTCATAATACATGATTTAAATTAATTAGACATGCTTTTTGATTGAAAAAAAAAAAATTACACCACGTATCCGTAACACGCCCGCTCCGCAACATTTTGCAGAGATAATGTAAGGGTCACCAGGGCTTCTGTAAGAGGTGACTGTTACACTCAATTTAGGAAGACTAAATTTGGTCAATCAGCTTTTTCATTTACTGTAGTAGAAAAGTGGAACTTAAAGGGTTAGTTCACCCAAAAATGAAAATTCTTGAGTAGTCAGTAATGGCTCTCCCTCATGTTGTTCAGGCCCGTAAGACTGTCGTTCATCTTCGGGACACAAATGAAGATATTTGTGATTAAATCTGAGAGCTGTCTCACTCCTCCATAGGCTTCTTAAGGGATCGAAACCTGCTGGCCCAAAAGTTATGAAAGACATCGTTAAAATAGTCCGAGTGACTACAGTGGCTCAACCTTAAGATTATCAAGCGGCGAGAATACTTTCTGTGTGCAAAAAAACAAACAAAAATAACGACTTTATTCAACTTATTTCCTTCTCTGTACGGCCGTGATATTTCACGCAGTGATATTGCGCAAAGCTTCTGGGTTGTACGTCACACGTAGGCTCACTATTGGGCGACACTGGTCATGTGTGTGACATACAACCCAGAAGCTTTGCGTAGTTTCACTACGTGAAATATCACGGCCCACAGAGAAGGAAATGATTCCCTCGGAAGCCTATGGAGGAGTGATCCAGCTCTCAGATTTAATCACAAATATCTTCATTTGTGTTCCGGAAGATGAACGACAGTCTTACGGGGTTGAACAACATGAGGGAGAGTCATTACTGACAGAGTTTACATTTTTGGGTGAACTATCCCTTTAATTCCACATTATAATAGAGATTGTGCAAGTCTCAGCAGTTTTAAAATGTCCTTAAAGACTTGGCTGAAGGAGAATCAACTATGTGATCATTGAGCTTTTTTATAACATGTATTGTATATCTGTACTTTTGTTTTTAAGTGAGTAATGTTTGTCTATATTGTCTTTATTTTCCTTGCCCAGGGACCACAGATGTAAATTAGCTGCATAGGTAACTCTGGGACAGGGCCTGAGCTGTTCATGGGCCCTGACAAATAAACAAATAAATGTTCACATAGGAAACAGCGGTTCAGAAGAGACTCTTTCAAAAATCATTAAAAACGTTTGATCAGTAGTGTGTATTTCAGACGCCAGACAGACAGACGCAGCAGGACCGTGACATCACTGAGGTCACATGGCAGCAGGACCGTGACATCACTGAGGTCACATGGCAGTGTGGCGAGCGGACGCACCTTGTAGTAGGGCTGTGGGTGTATGAGCGCGCCCCCCTCGGTCCTCTGCAGCGACTGCTTGACCTGCTCCACCTTGATGCTCAGGTGCGCCTCGAAGTACCTGCGCAGGGCCATGCAGGTGTGCTTGGCCGTCTGCCGGCTGGAGAAGATCTCGTCGTCGCTCAGCAGCGCGCCCTGGTCCTCGGGGTTCAGGATCTCCAGCGTGCTGATCTACAACACACACACACACACACCTCAGGCTAACACTGCTGGCAGAGCAGAGCGTTTACAGCTTTAGCATAGCGGTACAGTGCGCTTCATAAACCGGAGAATATGAAACAAGACATTTCTTAAACATAATATCTTATGGCATTTTACTACTTTAGTAAATCCATCTTGATTTAAGAATTTTTAGATATTTGGACTGGAAACAAGATTAAAATACTAACTAAGAAAATCTTTTTTTGTTCATATAAGTCTGAATAAGCTCTGTATTATAATGACAAACCAATTCCATTGTCTGATGAAAGTTAAAATAATAATGAAATAGGGTTTGAACAGGGGCGTAGTTTGTGTGTGTGTGTGTGTGTGGGGGGGGGGGGGGGGTACAACTCCCTCAATATTTATAGCCTTTGATATTAAAATGTGCAACTTATTTGAAATATATTGAGAATTTGCTGCTTTAAAACACAGTGGAGAATGTCAAACATAATCTAAAACAGCCACAAACTAAAGAGACTGATGAAAACATCATCGGGCACCAACATAAACTAGAGAGCTTTTAATACTCACGACCACCTTCACTAGAGTTTATCAAATTCTGTTGAATTTATTGTGGTAAATTTTGACTAACTTGTAGAATTTATAATAGATTCGCCTATTTGTTAATGGAAGAGATTTTTCACTAAAGGTTTATAGTACAACTGTGGCATGTTGTATATAGAGCTTCTGAATGTGTAGGTGAAATGCTATAAATGAAAAAAGGAAGAAAAAAGAAATCTGATTGGCGTAGCATTGTAATGAGGAGCCAATTACCTGTAATTATGTCCTTATTAACAAACGCAGCCTTATATTGTTAAACTATTACAACACCTATGTCACTTTTTAGGCCAAGTACAAGTTCGAATCAAGAGGACCTTATTGACTAAACCATTGGTTTCCCCCAAAATGTGTTCTGCTAATAATGACAGACATTAGGAAAAACCTGGTGTTCAGATATTCCAAGAAATGAACATTTTCAATACAAGGAAATGTTAAATAAAGTTAGTTTGACCACATGGCACTTTGATTTAAAAATTCTGTGAAACTGATACGTTTTTAGGAGCTTGAATAAAATGGTTTCCGCCACAGAATAAAACATTTTTTAAAAGTGACTTTTCACAAAAGTCACAATTAGCTTTTTTATCTCTTATTCTGTGGCGGAAACAAGCTTCCACATGAGGGCGAGTAACTGATGAACAAAACATTCACAAGTACATGTGCCCCATCTTAAAGCAGCCTGCGCTGTGGTTTTCAGCAGGGCACATTTATGTAGTAGAAATATCAGCTTATCAGCACAGGGCTCTCCTGCCTAATATCACTCTCATCGAAGGCCACCAGGCTCAACGGCTGGCGTTCTCCTCTTCAGGCACACCCCACCCAAAACTACAGTTCTGGGAGATATTCATGACATGTTTTGAAGAACGGTGCAATTCAAATTACGTTAAAGCCCATTGACTTCCATTGTATGGACAAAAATATATATATTTTGAGAAATATCTCAGTTTTTGTTTATGTTCCACAGAAAAAAGTCATAGTTTTCGCTGTCATGAGAAAACAAACGCGACGCCATGATGATTAATAAAGGCACAGTTTACATGTTAATCAGAGATTTTGTCCAAATGAGTCGACGAGCAGATTATACATCTGCAACATACTAAAGTATGACAATGATAATCTCAGGTACTAATTATGTGCTTTATAAAATGTTAAAAGAATTTAGTGATAGTTTGAATATGATTTATAGCTGTACTGAAAGTGGATGTTTGTTTCAGTCAGTTAATCATGTTAAAATGGTCTAACATTTATGAATTTGATTATGTGCTTATTCATTTGTTTGTGAGTGCAGTGTGCTTGAACAGAGACTCCGCCCACACGCTCTTCTTATTGGCCGTGATTTCTGATTGATTGTTGCGAGTCAAACACTCTTCTGATTGGTTGAGAATTTGATTGATTTGGTTGCGAATGCAGTTTGCTAGCAAAGAGACTCCGCCCACACTCTTCTGATTGGTTGAGAGTTTGATTGATTGTTGCGAGTGCAGTGTGCTAGCAGAGACTCCGCCCACACGCTCCTCTGATTGGTCGAGAGTTTGAATGATTGTTGCGAGTGCAGTGTGCTATCAAAGACTCCGCCCACACGCTCTTCTGATTAGCCGTGATTTCTAAATTAATTGTTGCGAGTGCAGTGTGCTATCAGAGACTCCGCCCACACGCTCTTCTGATTGGTTGAGAGTTTGATTGATTATTGTGAGTGCAGTGTGCTAGCAGAGACTCCGCCCACACGCTCTTCTGATTGGTTGAGAGTTTGATTGATTGTTGCGAGTGCAGTGTGCTAGCAGAGACTCCGCCCACACGCTCCTCTGATTGGTTGAGAGTTTGATTGATTGTTGCGAGTGCAGTGTGCTAGCAGAGACTCCGCCCACACGCTCTTCTGATTGGTTGAGAGTTTGATTGATTGTTGCGAGTGCAGTGTGCTAGCAGAGACTCCGCCCACATGCTCCTCTGATTGGTTGAGTTTGATTGATTGTTGCGAGTGCAGTGTGCTAGCAGAGACTCCGCCCACATGCTCCTCTGATTGGTTGAGAGTTTGATTGATTGTTGCGAGTGCAGTGTGCTGGCAGAGACTCCGCCCACATTCTCCTCTGATTGGTTGAGAGTTTGATTGATTGTTGCGAGTGCAGTGTGCTAGCAGAGACTCCGCCCACATGCTCCTCTGATTGGTTGAGAGTTTGATTGATTGTTGCGCGTGCAGTGTGCTAGCAGAGACTCCGCCCACACGCTCCTCTGATTGGTTGAGAGTTTGATTGATTGTTGCGAGTGCAGTGTGCTAGCAGAGACTCCGCCCACATGCTCCTCTGATTGGTTGAGAGTTTGATTGATTGTTGCGAGTGCAGTGTGCTAGCAGAGACTCCGCCCACACGCTCCTCTGATTGGTTGAGAGTTTGATTGATTGTTGCGAGTGCAGTGTGCTAGCAGAGACTCCGCCCACACGCTCCTCTGATTGGTTGAGAGTTTGATTGATTGTTGCGAGTGCAGTGCTAGCAGAGACTCCGCCCACACGCTCCTCTGATTGGTTGAGAGTTTGATTGATTGTTGTGAGTGCAGTGTGCTAGCAGAGACTCCGCCCACACGCTCCTCTGATTGGTTGAGAGTTTGATTGATTGTTGCGAGTGCAGTGCTAGCAGAGACTCCGCCCACACGCTCCTCTGATTGGTTGAGAGTTTGATTGATTGTTGCGAGTGCAGTGTGCTAGCAGAGACTCCGCCCACATGCTCCTCTGATTGGTTGAGAGTTTGATTGATTGTTGCGAGTGCAGTGTGCTAGCAGAGACTCCGCCCACATGCTCCTCTGATTGGTTGAGAGTTTGATTGATTGTTGCGAGTGCAGTGTGCTAGCAGAGACTCCGCCCACACGCTCTTCTGATTGTGAATTGATTTGTCAGGTCTCGTAATCGTGTCATGTCTGGTGTAAACATACAAACTGCTTATCGCTGTAATCGTATCCATCGCATCCGGTTAGGACACGGGCTTAAAGACAGAATGTTCACTTCTGGGTTTTAACTCTAATTGTCTGATCCCTACGCCCTAAGAAGAGCTCACCAGGTTGACGAGCCGGCGCAGGCCGTCCTGCTTGTCGAAGAGGTCGAGCACGGCTCTGAAGGAGAAGCAGATGGAGAAGAACATGGTGGCGTGGCAGCAGCCGGAGGCGTGGGAGCACTCGAGCAGCCACAGCGTGTAGCTCACCACCTCCGCCAGCAGCGAGTGCGGCAGCATACACACCTGAGGGAGAAGAGCACACACACACCTGAGACACGAGCATACACACCTGAGGGAGAAGAGCACACACACACACCTGAGAGAGAAGAGCACACACACCTGAGACAGAAGAGCACACACACCTGAGACAGAAGAGCACACACACCTGAGACACACGAGCACACACACCTGAGACACACACCTGAGACACACGAGCACACACACCTGAGACAGAAGAGCACACACACACCTGAGACACGAGCATACACAACTGAGAGAAGAGCACACACACACACCTGAGACACGAGCATACACACCTGAGAGAAGAGCACACACACACACCTGAGACACGAGCATACACACCTGAGAGAGAAGAGCACACACACCTGTGAAAGAAGAGCACACACACACACCTGAGACACGAGCATACACAACTGAGAGAAGAGCACACACACACACCTGAGACACGAGCATACACACCTGAGAGAAGAGCACACACACACACCTGAGACACGAGCATACACACCTGAGAGAGAAGAGCACACACACACACCTGAGACATGAGCATACACACCTGAGACACACGAGCACACACACCTGTGAAAGAAGAGCACACACACACCTGAGACACGAGCATACACAACTGAGAGAAGAGCACACACACACACCTGAGACACGAGCATACACACCTGAGAGAAGAGCACACACACACACCTGAGACACGAGCATACACACCTGAGAGAGAAGAGCACACACACACACCTGAGACATGAGCATACACACCTGAGACAGAAGAGCACACACACCTGAGACAGAAGAGCACACACACCTGAGACAGAAGAGCACACACACCTGAGACAGAAGAGCACACACACCTGAGACAGAAGAGCACACACACCTGAGAGAGAAGAGCACACACACCTGAGACAGAAGAGCACACACACCTGAGACAGAAGAGCACACACACCTGAGACAGAAGAGCACACACACCTGAGACAGAAGAGCACACACACCTGAGAGAGAAGAGCACACACACCTGAGAGAGAAGAGCACACACACCTGAGAGAGAAGAGCACACACACCTGAGACAGAAGAGCACACACACCTGAGACAGAAGAGCACACACACCTGAGAGAGAAGAGCACACACACCTGAGACAGAAGAGCACACACACCTGAGACAGAAGAGCACACACACCTGAGAGAGAAGAGCACACACACACCTGAGACAGAAGAGCACACACACCTGAGAGAGAAGAGCACACACACACCTGAGACAGAAGAGCACACACACCTGAGAGAGAAGAGCACACACACCTGAGACAGAAGAGCACACACACCTGAGACAGAAGAGCACACACACCTGAGAGAGAAGAGCACACACACCTGAGAGAGAAGAGCACACACACCTGAGACAGAAGAGCACACACACCTGAGACAGAAGAGCACACACACCTGAGACAGAAGAGCACACACACCTGAGACAGAAGAGCACACACACCTGAGAGAGAAGAGCACACACACCTGAGAGAGAAGAGCACACACACCTGAGACAGAAGAGCACACACACCTGAGAGAGAAGAGCACACACACCTGAGACAGAAGAGCACACACACCTGAGACAGAAGAGCACACACACACCTGAGACACACGAGCACACACACCTGAGACAGAAGAGCACACACACCTGAGACAGAAGAGCACACACACCTGAGACAGAAGAGCACACACACCTGAGACAGAAGAGCACACACACCTGAGACAGAAGAGCACACACACCTGAGACAGAAGAGCACACACACCTGAGACAGAAGAGCACACACACCTGAGACAGAAGAGCACACACACCTGAGACAGAAGAGCACACACACCTGAGAAAGAAGAGCACACACACCTGAGACAGAAGAGCACACACACCTGAGACAGAAGAGCACACACACCTGAGAGAAAAGAGCACACACACCTGAGACAGAAGAGCACACACACCTGAGACAGAAGAGCACACACACCTGAGACAGAAGAGCACACACACCTGAGAGAGAAGAGCACACACACCTGAGACAGAAGAGCACACACACCTGAGAGAGAAGAGCACACACACCTGAGACAGAAGAGCACACACACCTGAGACAGAAGAGCACACACACCTGAGACAGAAGAGCACACACACCTGAGACAGAAGAGCACACACACCTGAGAGAGAAGAGCACACACACACCTGAGACAGAAGAGCACACACACCTGAGAGAGAAGAGCACACACACCTGAGAGAGAAGAGCACACACACCTGAGACAGAAGAGCACACACACCTGAGAGAGAAGAGCACACACACCTGAGACAGAAGAGCACACACACCTGAGACAGAAGAGCACACACACCTGAGACAGAAGAGCACACACACCTGAGACAGAAGAGCACACACACCTGAGACAGAAGAGCACACACACCTGAGAGAGAAGAGCACACACACCTGAGACAGAAGAGCACACACACCTGAGACAGAAGAGCACACACACCTGAGACAGAAGAGCACACACACCTGAGAGAGAAGAGCACACACACCTGAGACAGAAGAGCACACACACCTGAGACAGAAGAGCACACACACCTGAGACAGAAGAGCACACACACCTGAGACAGAAGAGCACACACACCTGAGACAGAAGAGCACACACACCTGAGACAGAAGAGCACACACACCTGAGACAGAAGAGCACACACACCTGAGACAGAAGAGCACACACACCTGAGAGAGAAGAGCACACACACCTGAGACAGAAGAGCACACACACCTGAGACAGAAGAGCACACACACCTGAGACAGAAGAGCACACACACCTGAGACAGAAGAGCACACACACCTGAGAGAGAAGAGCACACACACCTGAGACAGAAGAGCACACACACCTGAGACAGAAGAGCACACACACCTGAGACAGAAGAGCACACACACCTGAGACAGAAGAGCACACACACACCTGAGACAGAAGAGCACACACACACCTGAGACAGAAGAGCACACACACACCTGAGACAGAAGAGCACACACACCTGAGACAGAAGAGCACACACACCTGAGACAGAAGAGCACACACACCTGAGACAGAAGAGCACACACACCTGAGACAGAAGAGCACACACACCTGAGACAGAAGAGCACACACACCTGAGACAGAAGAGCACACACACCTGAGACAGAAGAGCACACACACCTGAGAGAGAAGAGCACACACACCTGAGACAGAAGAGCACACACACCTGAGACAGAAGAGCACACACACCTGAGACACGAGCACACACACCTGAGACAGAAGAGCACACACACCTGAGACACGAGCACACACACCTGAGACAGAAGAGCACACACACCTGAGACAGAAGAGCACACACACCTGAGACAGAAGAGCACACACACCTGAGACACGAGCACACACACCTGAGACAGAAGAGCACACACACCTGAGACAGAAGAGCACACACACCTGAGACAGAAGAGCACACACACCTGAGAGAGAAGAGCACACACACCTGAGACAGAAGAGCACACACACCTGAGACAGAAGAGCACACACACCTGAGACACGAGCACACACACCTGAGACAGAAGAGCACACACACCTGAGACACGAGCACACACACCTGAGACAGAAGAGCACACACACCTGAGACACGAGCACACACACCTGAGACAGAAGAGCACACACACCTGAGACAGAAGAGCACACACACCTGAGACAGAAGAGCACACACACCTGAGACACGAGCACACACACCTGAGACAGAAGAGCACACACACCTGAAACACGAGCACACACACCTGAGACAGAAGAGCACACACACACACCTGAGACACGAGCACACACACCTGAGACAGAAGAGCACACACACCTGAGACACGAGCACACACACCTGAGACAGAAGAGCACACACACCTGAGACACGAGCACACACACCTGAGACAGAAGAGCACACACACCTGAGACACGAGCACACACACTGCTATCACCTTTACTGCTAGTGATCCATTGCTGTTTTCATTATTCTGTCTGTCACACTGTCACATGTGCTTTATACATAACCGACTGTGTTTACGAGTGTACTTACCCAGACCGGAATTGACAATTTTGCGTTTCCCCCCATTAAAGCCATATAATCTGCGAAAAATAACTTTACTCGCGAGCTGTTTGTGAGGCAGCTTTACCGTATGTGTGCACGCAGAGGAACCATCTCTCAGAGCGCGAGTAGCCTGAATGTTTAAACTGATAAGACTTGAGACGTGAAAATGATAAACTTTAGTTATGATGCACTGATGGCCCGATTGTGTGTTTGCTTGTTGTGTTTCCACCTTTAGCGGTAATCAGTGTCACGCTTCCAGTCGTGATGGTGTTCAGGAACAGCACTCGGCGTGTGAGTGCGCTAAACTGTATCATGTGTTAAAAATATAAAACTCCACATTTTGAGAGCCTCAACAGCACAACCTTGATACCGTCAGTATAAACTATCGCTCGCAACTTACAATAAATCAGAATCATTCTCTCGTTTTAGTGATTCCATGGTTATTTTTAGTTATTGACGTGTTAATCATGATACTACACACGCGCTAATGTGGAGCCCTGCTCCAGCCTGATCGCGCCAGCATCTCACCCGCTCCATGGCGTCCTGGTTGTACGCGAGGTAGTAGAGGCACAGAGACACGCCGGTGGCAGCCATCGAGGGCCGGGGGATCTCCAGCAGCTTCGGCACTCCTCCGTGCGCAACGAACTCGGCAGCAAACTTCTTATGGAGGAGCAGAGATGCAAGATACTGGAAAACACAGAGGACAGAGAACGAGTCAACATCTGGCTGGTGAACACAGGCCTCAAAACTAAGACCTTGAGATCACAGGGTGTTCATGCTCGTGAGAGACATTGAGCTGAGGAGTGTGTGAGGAGTGTGTCTGGTACCTTCAGCGCTTCGAACGTGAGCTGGACGTCGTTGGTCTGCTTCAGGTCCATGTAGTGCATCAGCAGCTCTCGGGCGCCGAGCTGCATGAACACAGCCAACAGCTGCGCACACACACACACACACACACACGTGTTATCAGATGGCTTTTCACACAGCTTTAAAATGGGGGGCAAATATGCCTTTATTTTTGGCTGAAAACGGCTTTAAAAAAGGAAGTGTGTGTTGTGTTGGACGTCGATAAATGTTTTCGTGAAAGATGCACCACGTGTTTCCATCTGAAGTTGCGCATTTAACTATGCATAAAACAACAAAACGTTCTCGAGAACACAATCATCACTTCCTGGGAAATTGTCCCTCCATCATAAATGAGTTAACGACCTTGTAACCAATCAGATCAACGTGTGATCGTCAACGACTGGATCTCTGAGCTGAGTGAGTGGAGGCGGGGCTCATCTGCATATTCATAGAACCGCGCATACTAAATGAGGCGAGGGAGTCGAGTTACATTCAAGAAATTTGAAGGCATGAAGACATTTCTTCAAGGAAAAACTTTCAAATGAGTAATTTTGGTGATCAAGGATGAGTTAAGGGATAGAATTAGACTACTACACACACCTCTTGACAGCAAAAATTCAAATGCACGTTTTTTTTAATAAATTCGACGAATATTCGAAACTTTAATTTTTATTTGACAGCCCTAAGACACATGTGTGTCGGACCAAAAGACCCGTAGCAGAGGTTTTCGGTATGAACACGCGGCCCGTTACACCCCTAGCCTGATCGTAAGCTTGTTCAGGTGACAAAAACTTAAACAATAACTTAGTCTTTCTCGTTAAACGTCATTTAAATATTTTTATGAGCCCAAATACTCGAATACAATATTAGCTACCACGGAGCTAACTGGTAGATTAGACTCTTGCAGTATCCGGTCAGCAAAACAGCTAGCCTAGCCAAGTCTAACGCGCTCATAGTAGCGGCCAAAGCCGTTTCAAACAACTGGGGCCTCATTTATAAAACTGTGCGTAGAGTCCTTACTAAAAGTGTACGTGCGTCGTGCGTCCGAAAGCCAAAAATGTCGTACGCAAAAAAATATTCAGACTTATAAAACCGTGCGTACGCCAGAACCTGCGCAGAATTCACTTTATAAATCCCAGTCAGCGGAAGAGTGTGCGCACTCGCGTCTCCTCCCCGAAACAACCATATATGGAGATTATAACGCCTAGTTTTACTATGCATATCCTCATCTGCATATCATTTGCATATGATTATTCATCCACATGATAACATGTTTAACGGTACAAGACATTAGGAAAATATGAAATATGGATGTGCCGTCACATTACATTACTAAAAATCATTTAGTAGCCCATCCTTCCCTTGTTTTTTAAATAAATAAAATAAAATAGTGCAAAATGCATTTCAGAGAAAGTTTTTCTCAATCTTTTCCACTGGCCAAATAGTATTTTAATTGATTTATATTTTTAATGGAAACAGATAGACCTTGTTGTGCATTATTTGCATGAAACCATTTTCTCAGACAATCTGCTATCATGATAAGCAATTATCTCTGTAGTTAACACATTAAAACACAGACAGCATGCCAGAGGAAAAGTGTTCACATCCACAAAAAATATTTATTGAATATAAAAATGTTGTAACTTCTCAGTAATGATTTCCTGTTACTGGCCGTAATTCAGAACACAATTACAAGAGGATGGCTCTTGGGAATCGAAATTGGCTCATGAGCCAATCATCATCATAAGCCAATCATCTTCACGGTCTCTGAGAACACGCTCCCTCCGTAGAGCGTCATTAGCAAGGTCTTCTAACAGCGCTGGAGCATCCATTATGATGATATGTTATATACGCACATACCTTTTTATAGCCCATTCATTACAAAAAAATTGTATTTGCACCTGGTTAAGAATGCTGATAATGATAATTCAGGTTGATGCAATTTGATTTATTGGGTGATGTAATAGGATAATTTAGAAGTTTTTCATTTTAAATAGTTATTGCTATTTGGGCCAGTTGGTGTCGCCAAAACACATACTCTTCTAAAAGAGTGCGTACGCACGGTCAAGAGCATCCTTACGGTGTGCACTTATTTACGCCAAGTTTATTTTTTTAAATCCCGATATGTGTGTGGAAAAATGCGTACGCAACGTTTATACATCAGGCCCCTGGTGTTCATCCATATCCATCTTGCAATGTTTACCAATGACTTCGCCGTCGCAGCGCTGTCGTCATCTCGCCTCTGGCCCGCCTAGATCAGATAACCCGATGTGATTGGTGCAGCTCAGCTACAAGGCCATAGTTAATGAGCAATTAACTATTAACTTAATTACTCAATGCCACAGGGAGTCGCTGAGCAAACTCAAATTGTGCTCTCTTGTGAACTCTGTGTTTGCAGGCTAGCTCTGTCCCCATCAGTGCATGAGTGTGAGTGTGTGTGTGTGTGTTTAGGAGAGCTTGACTGATGGTGTGTGTGTGTGTGTGTGTGTGGCGTCACCTCCTGGTACTCCCCCAGCGGGGTGAGGTACTGCAGGATCAGCCGCTGCTCGATCCCCGGCGTGAGCGGGAACAGGTGATAGTTATTCCCGATGACCCACGGGCTCATCTCAGACCAGCTGCTGTTGGACAGCTCACTGAAGCTGCGCTCCGGCTCCGGCATGGAGAAGTTCAGCTTCTGCTTCACCTTCCCTCCGTTCTCCCTCTTCCTCCAGCTCCTCAAGCCCTCCAGCGGCGCCTCGCTCTCCTCCGGCGGCACAGCAGACGCCGGCTTCATCAGGCCTTTCATGCCCGTGTTGGAGCGGCCCAGGCTCCTCAGCGCACACACGGGCTCGGCGTCCGGGCTCTCCGGCAGAGCGCTGGGAACGCTGGGAGCGAACTCTCCGTCCACGGTCTCCTCGTCCAGCGGGAGCAGAGGAGCCAGACTCTTGCTCGGACGCTTGCCGTCTCTCCGGCTCTCCGACTCCTTATCCTGAAGCTCCCTCAGTCTCTGCAGCATGAGAGGAACCTGCACACAAACATGCGTTATTTTCAAAACGGACAGTTTTGCAGCGTATAATATACATACTTCAACTACGCACATCATTGTTTTAAATTGTTGAATCTGAGTAACGTCCCCTCCCTCTTGCAGCAGCTCTTCTCTCTGATGACGATATCGGGCAGTCTCGATTCTCTTGTACCATTTAAAGGTGCAGTGTGTAAGTTTTAGCGGCATCTAGTGGTGAGGTTGCGAATTGCATTCAATGTTCCTGATAATCTTCAATCTGAGTAACTGACATCTTTTTATGGCATCAAATTTGATTCGCAGGGACCCTTGTGTAACATACACACCGACATTCAAAAGTTTGGGATCTGTAAGATTTTTAATGTTTTTAATGTGAGACTTTTTAAAGTCTCTTCTGCTCACCAAGGCTGCATTTATGTGATTACAAATACAAAAAAAAAAACAGTAATATTGTGAAATCATATTACAATTTAAAATAACCATTTTCTCTTTGAATACATTTTAAACTGTAATTTATTCCTGTGATAAAGCTGTATTTCCAGCATCATTACTCCAGTCTTCAGTGTCACATGATCCTTCAGAAATCACTCTAATATGAGGATCTGATGCTCAAGAAACATTAAAGGGATACTCCACCCAAAAATAAAAATTTGTCATTTACTCACCCTCAAGTTGTTGTAAACCTGAATGAGTTTCTTTCTTCTGCTGAACACAAAGGAAGATATTTTGAAGAACGATTGGAACAAAAAAAACACTATGGAAGTCAATGGTGCCGAAGTTCCAATCGTTCTTCAAAATATCTTCCTTTGTGTTCAGCAGAAGAAAGAAACTCATTCAGGTTTGCAGCAACTTGAGGGTGAGTAAATGACAGAATCTTCATTTTTGGGTGGAGTATCCCTTTAAATAATATTATCAATGTTGAAAACAGTTGTGTATACTTTTTTTTCAGGATTCTTTGATGAATAGAAAGTTCAAAAGAACGGCATTTATCTCAAATAGAAAGCTTTTATAACAAACTATCATTCAAAAGTTTGGGGCCTGTAAGATTTTTTTTGGCGTGGGGAGGAAAAGAAATCAATACTTTATTCAGTTAGGATGCATTAAATTGATCAAAAGTTACAGTGAAGAAATTTATAATGTTACAAAAGATTATATTTCAAATAAATGAAATTCTCATCAAAGAATCCTGAAAAAAAAGTACACTGAAGATTGGAGTAATGATGCTGAGAATTCAGCTTTATCACAGGAATAAATTACACTTTACTGTATATTCACATAGAAATCAGCTGATTTACACTGTCAAACAATATTACTGTTTTTTTGTTGTTGTATTTTTAATCAAATAAATACACAGTTGTTTCTGTTTGTATTTGATGCAACCGCAATCACTCTCTTCTTGGACTGGGCAAATGTCTATTGTACATGTATTATGTATGACCTGATCTTTTGTTCTCTACTGTTACTGTGAAGCATCCTTGAGCTTGGGAAAATGAAACGTTATGTTATCCTGGCCTCACCAGCACAGAGTTCTCCTCGCGATAGTTGGCGGCGATGTCCTGGTTCTCCATGGCTCCGGCTAGCAGGCCTGTGGCGTAGATCCTGAGCGGCTGATCCGCCTCCTGGGCCCATTTAAACAAGCGCTCCACTATACCGTCCTGTCACACACACACACACACACACACACACTTACAATCCGCATGCAGACGTGAGGAAGCAGAAGCCGTAGGGCTGTTTACACCGGGCCACTTCATGCGTGTTCTGTGATTGGATGGCTATCCGATCGTGAAAAGACCAGGTGTAAATGCCCTCCGAAACGCATTCGAGACGGATTTAAATCCGATCGCTCAAACCACTTCAGGAGGAGGTCTGAGACGCATTCCAGACGAAACTGGACAAGTGTAAACGCATCTGGTTGCTGAAACCACATATGTAAATTTTACTCCTCCCAACAATGCTAAAACTAAACATGTGAGCGCGTGTTATAAGCTATATGTCATGTTATAGCCAGATGACACCACAGATGAGCATCTCTTCATCAAGCGCTAACTATCGCAAATCAAAGTGAGTCGCAGACGCTTAACATTCATAATCTTCATTAAAAGAAACGAAACGATCTTACAGTGCTGTTGCCGCTCTCTCCTATAGCGGTCTTTGATTTTGAATTAGCTGATGATCAATAAAATGCAGCTTATATCGGTTGCTTTCAGTGACGTGACCTCCATTAAAGGGTTAGTTCACCCATAAATGTAAACTCTGACTCTCCCTCATGTTGTTCAACCCCGTAAGACTGTCGTTCATCTTCGGGACACAAATGAAGATATTTGTGATTAAATCTGAGAGCTGGATCACTCTTCAGGGATTGAACTTGCCAGCCTCGGAAAGTTATTAAAGACATCGTTAAAATAGTCCGAGTGACTACAGTGGCTCAACCTTAAGATTATCAAGCGACGAGAATACTATTGGCTGACACTGGTCATGTGTGTGATGCTGGCCAATAGTGAGCCTGTGTGTGACGTACACCAGCGCTGCACTGTTACACTATGAGAACTCACTCAGGCCCACAGAGAAGAACATGAAGAGTTGAATAAAGTCGTTATTTTGGGGGTTTTTGCACACACGAAGTATTCTCGTCGCTTGATGAACTTAAGGTTGAGCCACTGTAGTCACTCGGACTATTTTAAAGGTTTTTTAACTAACTTTTCTCGGCCAGCAAGTTTCAATCCTTTAGAAGCCTCTGGAGGAGTGATCCAGCTCTCAGATTTAATCACAAATATCTTCATTTGTGTCCTAAAGATGAACGACAGTCTTACGGGGTTGAACAACATGAGGGAGAGCCATTACTGACAGTTTTAGGTGAACGAACCCTTTAAATCTGCAGATCGTGTGGGAAATGAAGATCGGATTTATATCCGTTCTGCGAAACACATTTGTGTGTGCAGGTGTAGATGTAACGGTGAATCAGACGGCTGTGAAGAGAGCGTGTAGAGCGGCCGTATGAGGCGGTACCTTCTCCTGGAAGACCACAGCGGTCTCGAGGCCCGGCATGATGTTCAGCAGGAGTCTGCAGGCGGCGGTGTTCAGGGACCCCTCTCGACTGCTCATCACGTACGAGTTCACCAGCTGGAGGCGCACAACACCCAACATCAGAACACACACACATTCAGTTTCATTACGTACGAGTTCACCAGCTGGAGGTGCACAACACCCAACATCAGAACACACACACATTCAGTTTCATTACGTACGAGTTCACCAGCTGGAGGCGCACAACACCCAACATCAGAACACACACACATTCAGTTTCATTACGTACGAGTTCACCAGCTGGAGGTGCACAACACCCAACATCAGAACACACACACATTCAGTTTCATTACGTACGAGTTCACCAGCTGGAGGCGCACAACACCCAACATCAGAACACACACACATTCAGTTTCATTACGTACGAGTTCACCAGCTGGAGGCGCACAACACCCAACATCAGAACACACACATTCAGTTTCATTACGTACGAGTTCACCAGCTGGAGGTGCACAACACCCAACATCAGAACACACACACATTCAGTTTCATCACGTACGAGTTCACCAGCTGGAGGAGCACAACACCCAACATCAGAACACACACACATTCAGTTTCATCACGTACGAGTTCACCAGCTGGAGGCGCACAACACCCAACATCAGAACACACACACATTCAGTTTCATCACGTACGAGTTCACCAGCTGGAGGAGCACAACACCCAACATCAGAACACACACACATTCAGTTTCATTACGTACGAGTTCACCAGCTGGAGGCGCACAACACCCAACATCAGAACACACACACATTCAGTTCTTTATTGCTGAGAACTTAAGCCGCGTTTCCACCGAAATCACCAGGAACTTTCTCCCCCAGACCTGTTGCTGTCTGCGTTTCCACCGCGGTCTACAGTGCCGTGAAGATTAGGCTAGTTAGTCCGGTGACGCAGGACCGCGCGCTACTTTACAGTTACTCTGAATTTAAGCTTAATAAAGCCTGAACCTCGGTGTCGGTCCGTCAGACGGATTTATTTAAATCTTTGTTGATTCGAATAGTAAACAACTGTTACTTCACGCACCGCAACAGACGGTGCTGCGTGGAGTCATCCAATCAAAATGCGGCATGAACTCAACCAATCAGCACGTTCAGCGCCTAAGTCCCGCCCCTGACAGCTCCTGAACTGAGATAGCAACACCTCTCGCCAGCAGGACCGTCCGAGGGGAATATTTCCCCGAACTGCATTAGACCCTGCGGTGTAAACACACAGAGCAACACCACAAAGTTCACCGTTCCTGGTGGAAACGCGGCTATACATGATCAATGCCTGGGGAAAATATAGTTAAAAGTGCAATTACAGGTTACAAAATCAGGACAATATCATAAAAAACGACACAGCGAGACAGTCTTAAGGGCTGTGGACGGATGTAAGGAGTGTCCAGCTAGCATTTAAGTTCCTTAAGTGTCACCGGCCCACCGGTGGGCCCAAATCCATTACATTTTTAAAACAGTAATATCCTATACTAAACCTAAACTAATCTTGACAAACTATGTATCATTTGAAAGCTTACAATCTCTAGTTTCCATATTTGGTGATTGATTTTCAAAATAAATTACAGAGGAGCCGTAATTTATCAATTTCCAACAAGAATATTTTCATACTCCTAAGGCGTGTTTAGACCTTTATTTTGAAATAGTGATGAACATGAAAAATCATGAAAGAAGGATAGAAACCTCAGTTTGTTTTCATGCCAAGAGTTCAAAAGATAGCATCCATTCAATTATTGTAGAAAAAAAGGTTTTTTTAATATAAAGAAAAAAATTATAGATTCACCATTTGTGGCAGGAAGCTATAACGCACATACTTGTTCTTTTTATGTGTTTCTTAGAGGTTGAATTCATATCAAAATCTGCCAAACTTCTCATATTACTTCTGAATAGGATGTCTACTTCATAAATTGTATGAAAATTGTGGAAATAATGGTTCATATCACTCAAAACACATATGGAAATGGAGGCGCCCTTATATGGGCAGTGATGGAGTCTGGTTGTCATCTAGTGAAAAAGTTTGGTACTGCGCTCAAACAAAATCTCACTGAAAGCTCATTTTTTAAGATATCAACCTAAAATGTGAAACACAACTTATTCAGATTTTTGGCTTTGATTTTTTTTTGTGCAGTTTTAGAGTCGCCCAGGTTTTGAAAATATATATTTTATATAAAATATGAATAATTACATTTTTTACATTGTACATTTTCATAAACTCAAACTTCGATAACTTTTTTTCTGTTTCACTTTCTCAATTTATTTCACTTCTACAAAAATCTGCCAAATGTCTTCTTTAAAACAAGACCAATCTTACGTCTATATCCCAAAGCATTCTTGAATTACAACCATTTAAGTTCGAAATGTGCATTTTCATGTATATTCAAAAAAAGCGGGGTGACACACTTAAAGGGTTAAGTTCCTTACAACAACAAAAATGAAAAAGTAGGGCTTAGCACCCTGAACTTTACATTTGTGTAAGAAAAAGTTAGCTAGAAGAATTAATAAGTTTATGAAAAAATATCTTTATCAAAGTTGTGCTGACCAAATAAAACATCTTTGTATAAGAAAGTAAAACTCTGATGAAAATGTGCGTAGAAAGATATGGAAATCCTTCCCAAACACACTTAAATGGTTAAAGCTCTCAAACAATAATTTAAAAATCTGGAAAAAAATAAGTGTATTTTGATTGAAACGTATTTTTTTTAGACACTTTTGCAGCACTTCTGGGTTAAAGCTGAGTAACAGGCTTATTTACAGGGGTTAAAGATGCATGACGTCATGACACATCCGTACAGCAGCACGGCATCACGACACTGAGAGCTGATCGAATATTCTTCATATCACGGTGGGAGTAAACATATCTGGACTGCAGATGAGTGACAGGATAAAGACTGTGATGTGCTTGACATTGAAGAGAGTTATTAAAATGCCCTCTTCTGTGGCTCATTGCCCTTCAACGGTCAAATACACACAGAATTGTCAAAATGCCAGTTTATTACAATATTATACAGGGCTCTAGAGTGCGACCAAAATTTGTAAGGGTGCGACTAAATTTTTTCCTAGGTCGCACCAGTGCACCTAATAACGTTCTCGCATGATCGCATCCGTTGCCTCTCCACAAACGAGTCTTTTGTTCTCCTTGCACGCATGGTTGGATCATATCGTGGTCTAAACCAATCAGAGATAGAGATTGGGTGGGTCTTTGCCTCTGATTGGCTGTGGTTCAGATATTCCTGTAGGACTAAAATGCTCTGTGCTGACTGTGTGATTGAAATAAATTGCGACGTGAGCACCAGAGAATCAGTTACAGCAATCAGCAGCATCAGCTTAATAAGCGCAAGAAAACAGACGACGAAGAAACTTTAAAACATGTAGGCTACTTGAACTAGGGCTAGGTGAAAAATATTGATTTCTCGATTTTAATCGATTCTCATTGATTTTTACGAACCGTTGGGCTATGCTGTTTTCAGTTGATGAATGAATGGAACATTGTAGCGAGCATCCCATCCAATAAATCCCAATAGTCTTTGTGCTTTGTTACTATTGATATGAAACAAAGTCTCAGATTTCAAATTAGGTCCATTTTCTTATGAAATTCAAAAACATAAATAGTGTGTTGTCGGCGCTGTGGCGTGAGATCGCTCTGGCTCAGCTCAGCTCAAGAGAAGCAGCAGCGCATGATCTTCTCTTCCGCCTTAATAATACCAGTTACAGCGCGAAATAAACATGAACGAGCGTCTGAAAGTGTGTTAAAAGATAGAGTACAACTTATCGAAATCCGTATCTTTCACATGGAATCGCTCAATCAGTGTTTCAACCGTGGAAAGACGTCAGTAAAACGCTTGTAAACAATGTCATGTAACGTCACATTTACCTCAGAAAAAACATATCCAGTGCCCATAAACTCGCTAGCTAGCTAGAAAAATTAACTCTAGGGAGGAGCATTTTGCCAAATATATGCACCATATTGCATATTCATTATAATTTTTAATGTTTTTCCATATTTAATGCATGTTGTTTGAAAAAATCTGGCAAGTTTTTATGCAGCCACCATTTAAATGTTTATATTTCATATAACTTTATTATTATAAAAATAAATAAAAGTGTAATTTAGGTGTTTGTGTACAAATCAGGTAATTTTTACCTTCAATATTATAGTAGGCTAATGAAGCATAGTGGGCTACAACTGACTCCCAGTTTACAGCATTAGTTAAGAGATTTGTTTTCCTTGAGAAAATGTGCCATGTACTGTACCTGATATCCAAAATAATCAATATTGAATCGAATTGTGAAATTTGTGTCAATACACTGCCCTAACTTGAACAATGTAAAAACAGCACTTTAAATGTTTTATTTTTTTTTAAAGATTTATATTTTTATATACAGTATAATTGTGCTTAAAAAAAAAAAAAAAATACACCTTATTATTCTTATTCTTGTTTAAAAGCATTTACATAATATATATGAATGTATATGGAGCGTGATAAAAATGTGACCTTGAAATTGTGGCGTTAAAGGCGACGCGAGACGAGGAAAAATTTTTGTGCACCTAAATAAAAAAGTTAGGCGCACCTGTGCAACCAAGGCAAAAAGTTAGTCTGGAGCCCTGTTATATTTAGTTATCAAACTAAATATATTCAATTTACTTGCAGATGTAAATCTGGACTTTCAAAACTATTTTTAAAAATATTCATTAGATATTCGTTATATCAGTTACATCTTTTCTCTGTTGTCTGCGTGCGTGCATATGTAAATTTTATGGAAAAAAAAATAAAATCATGAGTCCTGCCCACTGAAAGCTGCACATAAACTATATAGTATATAAACAATATAGTAAATCTCTATTGATTAACACTGTATATTGTCACCATCACTGTGCTCGATGAGCACTTGCACTATAGCTGTATTTCAGGGAAAAAGTATGCAATCAGTGACTATCATTTTTAAACTACATTTTATTGACAATATTAATTAAACAAATGTAAAATGTGTAATTTATTTGTGTATCAGTTCAATTCATGATGCAATTGTGCTTGTGATTATGCATCCAATCTCACCGCATTCATGAAGTCATCGTTCTTGAACAGGATTTTCAGGAGGTGTCCCAGCATGCACTCTGGATCTGCCCGTCCTTAGAGCAAAACAGGAAGTCAGTGTTACGGTTGTGGGTCTGGGAGACGCTGAGCACGCAGAGCTCCACATCAGACAAGAGGATCTTATGAAGCGGCGAGTAAAGGAGAACTTCACTTACAAGCATCCGGATTAACACGCCAATAACTAACTATAAATAACCATGGAATCACTACACCGACAGAATGATTCAGACTGCATTATATTTATTGTAAGTTGCGATCGATAGTGGATAATAATGTATTACTGTAACGATGTCGTGCGGTGGACTACAACAGGCCCATAAACAGTTCAAATCAAGTCACTTACATTTTAGACACAATATTGGCTGGTTTTGTTCTGTTTCGGAGATATAAAGCTTTATTCTAAATAATTGAATTTATTGATCAAATTTAGGAATTTAAAATGAAAGATGAAGAGTACATTTAATAAGATTGGGGGGGGGGGGGGGGGGGGCTTTAAAAGTGCAGATATTACAATATATGCAGATTTAATATATCAAAGCTGATTGAACACTGATGAGAATATTGCTTCAGAGTCAATTATATTTACACACACACACACACACACACTAGGGGTGTAACGATACACGTATTCGTATTGAACCGTTCGGTACGAGGCTTTCGGTTCGGTTTTCGGTACGCATTTTTGAACCGAACGGTTCGTTGGACCATTTTTCCTGCCGACCAAAATTTCGTTATTTCAAATGAAGGCGCGTCACGCGCGCTCATAATGTGCGTGACCACAACATTGCCCAACATCAAATGGCAAATGTAATGTAAGCGGAACGAAACCACTCGTTATTGTGTGGTTGAAGGACCGTTTATCAGTTTGGACAAATACAGCGCGAGCCGATCTTAATCATCAGCACTGTTACTACACAGCCAAATCCAGTAAAGAAAGCATTTGAATTCGCCACTGAAGTAATAACATCGCTGCAAGATCTAGTGAGAAACATTCGCATTTCTCCGTTATTAACGGATCAAACAGCGCTGACGTGGAAACCAGGAAGAAACATTGTGCCATGAATGAACTATCCAGTGTCCACAGATCAGCAGCATTCACCATGGGTTTACTGTAGTAACACTACTAACTGTAACCATGGAAGTTTGGCAGGAATAGTAGGCTATAATGCTTTCAAGTAACATCACGTCGGTTTTATTTTGACATTATGAATACAATTGCTGCCCTCAAATGTTAATCTGAACTAAAATAAACCTTTGTTTATAACTACTACAATATTACATTTAATTTTGTCCAAGGAGCTGTTTTGTTTTATAAGCTCCTAAGAAAAGTCAAGTATAGCTCCATCATTGCTCAAAGTTAAAAAATATCATACTTTATGATGTTAGTTTTAATAAAAATATAATTAAAAAGATTAAATCAAGGAAATTTCTCTGGCATTTCTTTCTTTTTGCTGTATCGGAAACGTACCGAATCGTACCGAACCGAACCGTGACACAAGTGTATCGTATCGAACCGAACCGTGAATTTTGTGAACCGTTACACCCCTAACACACACCCATCCACACACACACACACCTACACCTACACACACACCCAGACACCTACACACAGACCTACACCCACACACCCACCCACGCCCACCCACACACAAACCCACCCACATACAAACACACCTACACACACGCACACACATCCACACACCTCGGACGAGTGAATGGCAGAGTTACTTGTGCGACAAAGGGTTAATGTGAAGCCCTGCTGATATTAATGCTGATATTAATGCTGATATGCTGATATTAATGCTGATATTAATGCTGATATTAATGCTGATATTAATGCTGATATTAATGCTGATATGCTGATATTAATGCTAATATGCTGATATTAATGCTGATATTAATGCTGATATTAATGCTGATATTAATGCTGATATGCTGATATTAATGCTAATATGCTGATATGCTGATATTAATGCTAATATGCTGATATTAATGCTGATATTAATGCTGATATTAATGCTGATATGCTGATATTAATGCTAATATGCTGATATTAATGCTGATATTAATGCTGATATTAATGCTGATATTAATGCTGATATGCTGATATTAATGCTAATATGCTGATATTAATGCTGATATTAATGCTGATATTAATGCTGATATGCTGATATTAATGCTGATATTAATGCTGATATGCATGCTTTGCATGCTGATATTAATGCTGATATGCTGATATTAATGCTGATATTAATGCTGATATTAATGCTGATATGCTGATATTAATGCTAATATGCTGATATTAATGCTGATATTAATGCTGATATTAATGCTGATATGCTGATATTAATGCTGATATTAATGCTGATATGCTGATATTAATGCTGATATTAATGCTGATATGCATGCTTTGCATGCTGATATTAATGCTGATATGCTGATATTAATGCTGATATTAATGCTGATATTAATGCTGATATTAATGCTGATATTAATGCTGATATTAATGCTGATATGCATGCTATGCATGCTGATATTAATGCTGATATGAATGCTGATATTAATGCTGATATGCTGATATGAATGCTGATATTAATGCTGATATGCTGATATGAATGCTGATATGCTGATATTAATGCTGATATGAATGTGTGAGAGTGCACCTGGGTGGCGGTCGTCGAACGGGTCCGGATCCGCCTTGTGATACTCCTCCGTCTCCCGCTCCACCAGATCCGAGATCCTGCAGATCCGCACGAGCATCACCAATCACACACACATGACCACAGGCATTGAGGAACACACTCGCTTCTTCTCGATTAGTTATTCAACATTTACAAGCATATTTAACAGGTCTTCATAACATAGATAACTCGTTAAAATGCACATTAATTAGTTTACTTGACATTACCCAGAAGAAATTCATACTTCCCTGTGAACACGTCAGTCCTGGTTATACATTAATGTGTTGGGGAAGCTGCACACTACGAAACATGGCAAGTTACTCTAAAACAGTCATTAATTATTAGCTATGAATTATATCGTCAATGGTGTGATGTCTGTACTAATTACTCTAAAAGTATTACATTACATATCGGCAAATCCCTTCTAAACGCCACACCTCGGCCGGTTGAACATGGATAGAGATAGCCTCGGTAATTCTTTCAAATAAATAATATAAAACTGCATAAATTATTCTTGATCTGACCAAAGTCTTTACATTACAACATACATTTTAAGGTTAGACGTCACATTTTGATGTTAAATTTCATTGCATTTGTAATGTAACAAAATTAGTTTAAATACAATTGTGTTTCAAAACTGAAATGAAGTCTTACGGTTTGGAACGACGTGAACAAATGCAAATTAATTTATTTAAAAAAATGTTGGGGTGACCTCTAGCTTTAATTAGATATGTTTACTTTAATACATCTCTACTCTCGATGTCTCAGATGCGGTTCAGTGATCCACCGATATTGTGTTTTATTATAACCGATACTGATTATTGGCATGTTTATGTTCCATGATAAACGATACACAGAACCGATATTTATTTGTTTTATTTCTGTTTTTGACTATTATCACTTTTTTCAATACTGTAATTTCACTTTCAATTTCTAGCTTAGAACTCAGTTACATCTTTTAATTTATAACAGCAGTAGAGATATTAATAACAAAAGTCTAATATTTTCAAATGGAGAACAAATGACAATTTTTTTTTTAATAATAATAATTATTAACCCGTAATGCATCACACACGCGACATTGATCATGATGCATCACGGCTGCCGATATTAGCGTACCTTTTTGATAGATTTATAACCATGTGCGTATTGATTATCAAGGCGGATATGAAGCGCTAGTTCATTAGTTAACTGGCACTGAATTTTGGTGAATAAGATTTTGTTTTGATGCTCATATCTGTACATTAGCAGGAATAGCACAATATGGATGAGAAAGCACTATAATCAGCCTATGTGACAATAACATTTGTTTTGGTTAAAATCAACCAATAATCGTGATAATTAATCGTGATCTCAATATTGATCTTAATAACGGTGATGCTGATTTGTCCACGAGCGTGCAGCCCTACTGTAGTCTCCGTGTGTCTCACTTGGTCAGTATGTTGAGCAGTTCTCCGGATCCCGCTTGCTGTTCTCTCTCCCACTGCTCCAGGAGAGCACTGAGCTCCGCTTTAGAGTCCACCCCGCCTCCGTCACCAGACGCCATCAGCCCTGACACACACACACACACACACAGGATTGGTTACAAGGTCGTTTGTGACGTCAGAAACACCAGCGATTTCAAACCGTGTTTTTGAGACTGTCTTTGGTTCACTGCAGTTTTAAGCAGGAAATACTCAGCAATGCTGTCGACTTATGAACTTACACACGGTGTGTCTTAAAGCGTATTAAAAACACCACATAGACACATAAACAACATTAAACGCTGGATTTACACCACAGGGGGACTTTAATGGTCTATATATGGTGGGGATGCATTAACTAAACGTGCACCAACCAAATATTTGTCATAGCTTTTTAATATTTGATCATATTAAGCATTGCAAAATCCCTGCTCATGACGAGCCAATCAAACCTCCTCACTGGACTAAACTAAGCCCCGCCCCACACCTGTTCCCATTGGAGAAGCCGTTTCCCTCATACAGTCCAAACATTATCCAGACATCAGATATCATTTTTGATATGTTTTTACTAGTGTGTGCAGGACACTATAATTCATTTCTGTAAGTGAGGAGAGCAAAATAAAGTAAACTCTGACATATTATACCCAAATATTCTTCATACAGTGACTACCAGTGAAAATTTGGGACTAAACATTATTCCTCCACTTTGAGCTGATGATGTTCTGCTGAAGTGTGTTTTCTGTAACTGCTAATGCTCTTTTCACACACACACTGAACAACATGAAGCATTGCTTGGTCACTGGTTGAGCTAAACTGGTATTATCTAATTGTGTAGTTAAATTTAACAGCTGACAGATATTCAACATAATTCATGTGTGAGAGTCTAACAGAAGGACGGACAAAACCAGTCAAATATCCACTGATCTGAGAACTCTGAGTTCTGCTCATGTTTCTAAACTATAGCGAATAAACTGAGATAATGTGAGAAATGTTGAAGGAGTCTGAATAAATGTTGGTTTGACTGTAAATGAGTAAAACTTGAAACACAGAGGAGTAAATCACAGTGAGGTCATCAAGGCCAACAGCATCCTGAATGTAATAGAAGAACTGATAAGAATTATAATATTTAATCAAGAGTTTCTTAGTCAGGGTTTCCACTAATATCGCTGTGCCTGTGATAAAGCTGAACACATCAATAGATGAAAATATCAATACATGTAACGTTATTCATCACGTGTATGTGTGTGTGTGTGTGTCAGTTGAACTTGAGTCCAGCAGAAACACCTGCTATTATGAACTGAGCGCCTCTTACAGTAACGTTACATTACCAGCTCAAACACGCAGCTAGCGCTTATCCAGTGTATACATATATAAAGTATAGAAAGACATGGTGTTTACAGAGCGAGCACGCGTGTATCCCGCACACACTGATCTGACATGTGAACTGCACACAACACTGAGGTAAACAGTGTTTATAACGTGTTTCGGCGCGCGAGCACTCACCTTCAGCGCGCGCGCACACACCGCCTCAGACTCGCGAACGGCTCGCAATCGCCTCACGAACACAAGACACGCGTCACGGACTGTTATAAACACATGAATAGTGTCGCTTAAGAGCTCATGTCACTCGTGTCTGCCTTTAGCAATGTGCTGCAACTTTATGATGGCGATCTCTAAACGCGTCATCACCCGGCGACCACAGGGAGACGTCGATGACGTCAGACGCACGCTGTTTGCCACCAGGGAAGCGAGTTTGGACTTTACTATTTGTTGTCTATATTTGTTCAGTTTTTTTATACTATGTGTTGGACAATTGTCATGTTTATTATTTGTAATGTGATTGGCATTTAATTAAAAAAAAAAGAAAAAAAGAAAGAAGAGCGTTTGGACTGTATTGTGTTACAGTTATGACAATAATCATAATGATAATTGTTGTTAATGTTGTAATAAAAAAAGAAGAGAGTTTTGACTCTCTTGATAAAGAATAAAAAAAAATAAATAATAATAAAACGTGAAGTAATTCCTACATAATATAGTTTCCACTTTTACTGGAACAATTTGTGACGATATTCACTGTAAAAGTGCATGACAAATACAGCGTTTTAAGATACTGAGTAATATCTATTTAACTAGCTCCCAAATCGCTCCTTTTGTTTATGTTTTCAATTTATACGTATTCTGTAAGCCTGAGGAAGACACTGACTGCTCCATTTATTTTTTTAATGTAATAAGATACAATCTTTAAGTTTTTATGCAGCATATCGCTGTATATAAAATATATCTGTAAAAATATGTATGTCTTTATTATTCTGACAGTAACCATGCTGTTAGGCATGTTATGTTTATAACTATGTTTGCCTTATATTAATCGCAGCTTCAGAGTAGTTCCTGTCAGTCACCTGTAGTTCCCGCTGTGTCCACAGGAGGCGCGAGAGAGTGATCAGTGTGTTTTTACTCATCTCAAACACCAGGAGGCGCTGAAGAGCACATCACCTTCAGTTGTCCCGTGATGAACAGATGAAATAAACTTATTAAGGATGTCCACTCAGACTTATGGTCACCTATACTCACATAATAACCTCTCACTTCTTCTTAGTATGACCTGAACCATTTGAGGACTATCCCAGAAAAGCCCGACCCAGTGTTTTGTTATCGACAGTGCCAAACCCAGCTCTGATATTTTGCCTGTTTCTGTATTGAGTGTCCTACTGTACTGTACTGTGCTGTATCATTTATTACCTCTATGAGCGCTGATACGGTTTGACCAGACTGAAAACTGTCGAACCATTCGAGTTAAAGAACTTGTTAAGCTGATTGAAAACAAGTTTTTCAATGATCTTGTCTCTGTAGTTTCAGATTTCACACACACACACACACACACACACACACACACACAGACACACACACACACACACACACACACACACACTCTCTCTCTCTCACACTCTCTCTCACACACACACACACACACACACACACACACACACACACACACACACACACTTACTCACAGACACACACAAACTCACGCACACACTCACTCACTCACTCACTAACACACACACACACCCACTCACTCACTCTCACACATACACACACACACACACACACACACACCCACTCACTCACTCACTCACTCTTACACACACACACACACACATAATAGCGACATCTCCTGGTTTGATTAAGTATTAACATAATCTGAACGCAATCTTTACATTACTTACTTTTCAGATTTTTAAAAAAGTGATCATCTGAGTGGTCCATATTTAAAGATAATTTATTTTAAAGATCTGAGTTAAGTGATTGTTAGGCTGCACAAATTAGGTCAGTCAGAACAGGGAACACATCCTGTAACACCCGATGTAATCTTTCCATCATAAGAAGATTAGTCTACGCTAATATTAGTCTCTCTGTTTATCTCGAGGTTTACAGTACTCAGCCGGATCCAGGCCGTATCCGGATCAGATCGTGGACCTGCACCTAGACACGACCACAACACATGATGTAGTCAGCCGGATCAGGCCCGTATCCAGATCAGATGGTGGACCTGCGCCTAGACACGACCACAACACATGATGTATTTAGCCAGATCCGGGTCGTATCCAGATCAGATCGTGGACCTGCGCCTAGACACGACCACAACACATGATGTAGTCAGGCAGATCCGGGTCGTATCCAGATCAGATGGTGGACCTGTGCCTAGACACGACCACAACACATGATGTAGTCAGCCGGATCAGGCCCGTATCCAGATCAGATGGTGGACCTGCGCCTAGACACGACCACAACACATGATGTAGTCAGCCGGATCAGGCCCGTATCCAGATCAGATCGTGGACCTGCGCCTAGACACGACCACAACGCATGATGTAGTCAGCCGGATCAGGCCCGTATCCAGATCAGATCGTGGACCTGCGCCTAGACACGACCACAACACATGATGTAGTCAGCCAGATCCGGGCCGTATCCAGATCAGATCGTGGACCTGCGCCTAGACACGACCACAACACATGATGTAGTCAGCCGGATCAGGCCCGTATCCAGATCAGATCGTGGACCTGCGCCTAGACACGACCACAACACATGATGTAGTCAGCCAGATCCGGGCCGTATCCAGATCAGATGGTGGACCTGCGCCTAGACACGACCACAACGCATGATGTAGTCAGCCAGATCCGGGCCGTATCCAGATCAGATCGTGGACCTGCGCCTATACACGACCACAACGCATGATGTAGTCAGCCGGATCCGGGCCGTATCCAGATCAGATGGTGGACCTGCGCCTAGACACGACCACAACACATGATGTAGTCAGCCAGATCCGGGTCGTATCCAGATCAGATCGTGGACCTGCGCCTAGACACGACCACAACGCATGATGTAGTCAGCCAGATCCGGGCCGTATCCAGATCAGATCGTGGACCTGCGCCTAGACACGACCACAACGCATGATGTAGTCAGCCAGATCCGGGCCGTATCCAGATCAGATGGAGGACCTGCGCCTAGACACGACCACAACACACGATGTAGTCAGCCAGATCCGGGCCGTATCCAGATCAGATGGTGGACCTGCGCCTAGACACGACCACAACACATGATGTAGTCAGCCAGATCCGGGCCGTATCCAGATCAGATCGTGGACCTGCGCCTATACACGACCACAACGCATGATGTAGTCAGCCAGATCCGGGCCGTATCCAGATCAGATGGTGGACCTGCGCCTAGACACGACCACAACACATGATGTAGTCAGCCAGATCCGGGTCGTATCCAGATCAGATCGTGGACCTGCGCCTAGACACGACCACAACGCATGATGCAGTCAGCCAGATCCGGGCCGTATCCAGATCAGATGGTGGACCTGCGCCTAGACACGACCACAACGCATGATGTAGTCAGCCAGATCCGGGTCGTATCCAGATCAGATCGTGGACCTGCGCCTAGACACGACCACAACGCATGATGTAGTCAGCCAGATCCGGGCCGTATCCAGATCAGATGGTGGACCTGCGCCTAGACACGACCACAACACATGATGTAGTCAGCCAGATCCGGGTCGTATCCAGATCAGATCGTGGACCTGCGCCTAGACACGACCACAACGCATGATGTAGTCAGCCAGATCCGGGCCGTATCCAGATCAGATCGTGGACCTGCGCCTAGACACGACCACAACGCATGATGTAGTCAGCCAGATCCGGGTCGTATCCAGATCAGATCGTGGACCTGCGCCTAGACACGACCACAACGCATGATGTAGTCAGCCAGATCCGGGCCGTATCCAGATCAGATCGTGGACCTGCGCCTAGACACGACCACAACGCATGATGTAGTCAGCCAGATCCGGGTCGTATCCAGATCAGATCGTGGACCTGCGCCTAGACACGACCACAACGCATGATGCAGTCAGCCAGATCCGGGCCGTATCCAGATCAGATGGTGGACCTGCGCCTAGACACGACCACAACGCATGATGTAGTCAGCCAGATCCGGGTCGTATCCAGATCAGATCGTGGACCTGCGCCTAGACACGACCACAACACATGATGTAGTCAGCCGGATCCGGGTCGTATCCAGATCAGATCGTGGACCTGCGCCTAGACACGACCACAACACATGATGTAGTCAGCCGGATCCGGGCCGTATCCAGATCAGATCGTGGACCTGCGCCTAGACACGACCACAACGCATGATGTAGTCAGCCAGATCCGGGCCGTATCCAGATCAGATGGTGGACCTGCGCCAAGAGACAACCACAACACATGATGTAGTCAGCCAGATCCGGGCCGTATCCAGATCAGATCGTGGACCTGCGCCTAGACACGACCACAACGCATGATGTAGTCAGCCAGATCCGGGCCGTATCCAGATCAGATGGTGGACCTGCGCCTAGACACGACCACAACGCATGATGTAGTCAGCCAGATCCGGGTCGTATCCAGATCAGATCGTGGACCTGCGCCTAGACACGACCACAACACATGATGTAGTCAGCCGGATCCGGGTCGTATCCAGATCAGATCGTGGACCTGCGCCTAGACACGACCACAACACATGATGTAGTCAGCCGGATCCGGGTCGTATCCAGATCAGATCGTGGACCTGCGCCTAGACACGACCACAACACATGATGTAGTCAGCCGGATCCGGGTCGTATCCAGATCAGATCGTGGACCTGCGCCTAGACACGACCACAACACATGATGTAGTCAGCCAGATCCGGGTCGTATCCAGATCAGATCGTGGACCTGCGCCTAGACACGACCACAACACATGATGTAGTCAGCCGGATCCGGGTCGTATCCAGATCAGATCGTGGACCTGCGCCTAGACACGACCACAACACATGATGTAGTCAGCCGGATCCGGGTCGTATCCAGATCAGATCGTGGACCTGCGCCTAGACACGACCACAACGCATGATGTAGTCAGCCAGATCCGGGTCGTATCCAGATCAGATCGTGGACCTGCGCCTAGACACGACCACAACACATGATGTAGTCAGCCGGATCCGGGTCGTATCCAGATCAGATCGTGGACCTGCGCCTAGACACGACCACAACACATGATGTAGTCAGCCAGATCCGGGCCGTATCCAGATCAGATGGAGGACCTGCGCCTAGACACGACCACAACACATGATGTAGTCAGCCAGATCCGGGTCGTATCCAGATCAGAT